TGACACCAGCCCTGCCCCAGTGTCCCCAGAGCAGCTGAAATGACCGTGAGCTGGGGATGGGCACTGTGACACACAGGGGTGACACCGGCCCTGCCCCAGGTATACAAATGGCCATCAGCTGGGGTGGGCACTGTGACAGATGTGACACCAGCCCTGCCCCAGTGTCCCTGAGCAGCTGGGACACACAGGGGTGACACCGGCCCTGCCCAGGCACAAATGGCCACCAGCTGGGGTGGGCACTGTGACAGACAGGGGTGACACCGGCCCTGCCCCAGTGTCCCCGAGCAGCTGGGGTGGGCACTGTGACACTGTGACAGACAGGGGTGACACCGGCCCTGCCCCAGTGTCCCCGAGCAGCTGGGGTGGGCACTGTGACACTGTGACAGACAGGGGTGACACCGGCCCTGCCCCAGTGTCCCCAGAGCAGCTGGGGTGGGCACTGTGACACTGTGACATTCAGGGGTGACACCGGCCCTGCCCAGGCACAAATGACTGCGAGCTGGGGTGGGCACTGTGACACTGTGACAGATGTGACACCGGCCCTGCCCCGGCACAGCGCTGCACTCCTGCCACGCTGCAGAGCCTGGCACAGCTGGGCAGGCCCAGCTGCAGAGGCCCGAGCCCTCTGCAGGGTGCAGCAAACGCCCTTCAGCAGCAGCCACGCCTGCAGGGAACATTGCCGCCCTGACCTTAAGGAAACCACTTCCAAGGAAACAAGGAAACAAGGCCATGGATACTAGAGCACAGTGACAAGGACAGACGCAGCCCCACCAAGGCTGGCTGGTGGTGCCACACAAGGCCAAAGGGAAGGGTGTGGGGGTGCAATTCTGGGGGGTGAGCAGGGAAATGAGTTAATGCAAGGCACACTTGAGAGAACTAAACTGCATCTCCAAGTTGCAGCCATGAAAGCAATTTTTGGGGAAACACATCTAAGAGAGACCAAGGATTGCTGATTGCTGAAAGCTGGCAGTGATGCCCTGTGAGCGTGATTCACGAGTACCAGCCAGGGCAGACAGATCCCCAGCACTACTCTGACACCAGGCAGATATCCCCAGATATTCTGGCAACATGGCTAATTAGAGCGGCGTGCAAACTGATGTGCTGCGAGGATGCTTCACACGAGAAAGGCTCCTGCCTCAGCTGCTGCCCCCAGAATCAGACAAACATGGAGATGTCAGGAGTGCACTCGATGGCTTTTAACCACCAGAACATTACTACGGAGTTCTGCTGTTTAATAATGCAAGGGCAGAAGTTTTACGATAAACACGACTGAGGAAAATCCATACACCAATAAAACAAAAAGCAGCTTGTGATTTGATGAAGATATGAGTAAGTGATTAAACTGCAGATATTTTCCAGCACATTAGATTATTATCTACTTGCCCCACGGCTGAACAGCAGCAAAATGTCTCATTGTAGGCATGAGAACAATTAGCACCAAAGAGCAGGGGAGGAGCACCGAGGAGGCGCCCGCCACGCTCCGTGCAGCAGGGCTAGCAGTGCCCAGAACACTATTTCTGTGCGCGCATCTGAATCACCAGCGTCAATTCTCCTCATCTCTCTGGCAGCAGCCACCGAAATTTAAGACACATGGCAGCAGCATAAAGCTGGAGAGCTGGAGAAGAGCTTGGAGGAAACTGAGTGGCACCAGTTTTGTGTTGACACAAAGTTCACGGGTGAGAAGCCGGAGCAGCCACCTCTCCACCGAGAGGCGGGTGTGGAGCGGGTGCCCGGGGGCTGCTCTGGCACATCTCTGCTGCCAGCTCCCACCTGTGCATCCAGCCCTGCCCAGAGCACTTCCCAAGTGCCCAGAATGAGGGGGCAGAGAGGGCAGAGCTCCCTGGGGGCTCCAACCCCTTCCCAATGCCCAGAATGAGGGTGCAGAGAGGGCAGAGCTCCCTCGGGGCTCCAACCCTTCCCAAGTGCCCAGAATGAGGGGGCAGAGAGGGCAGAGCTCCCTCGGGGCTCCAACCCTTCCCAAGTGCCCAGAATGAGGGGGTAGAGAGGGCAGAGCTCCCTGGGGGCTCCAACCCTTCCCAAGTGCCCAGAATGAGGGGGCAGAGAGGGCAGAGCTCCCTGGGGGCTCCAACCCTTCCCAAGTGCCCAGAATGAGGGGGCAGAGAGGGCAGAGCTCCCTGGGGGCTCCAACCCTTCCCAATGCCCCAGAATGAGGGGGCAGAGGCTGCAAAGCTCCCTCAGGGCTCCAACCCTTCCCAATGCCCCAGAATGAGGGGGCAGAGGCAGCAAAGCTCCCTCAGGGCTCCAACTCTCGTTGGAGGAATGGCACCAGGGTAACCCCACTCCAAAGCGCACCCTCCCTGTGAGGCACACGAGGGAAAAGCTCCCCCTGCTGTGATGGCCTGACTGTACCACGCGCTTTAAACCCCAGCAAGTTCCCTTTTGCCCGTTTCTCCGCTCTTTCTCATTTTCACTTTTTGAGAAGGCACGCAGCAGAAAAACAGCAGAAAAACAACTCCTCCTCTCAGCACAGGCCTCTGTGTGGTCAGAGCAGGAAGATCTGCACACCGCAGCACATGAGCTCCTCTGGCACTGGAGCCACCCTGGGGACAGCCCCGTGTGCCACCCTAGGGACTGCCCTGGGGACAGCCCCGTGTCCTACCCTGGGGACAGCCTGGGGACAGCCCCGTGTGCCACCCTGGGGACAGCCTGGGGACAGCCCCGTGTGCCACCCTGGGGACAGCCCTGGGGACAGCCCCATGTGCCACCCTGGGGACAGCCTCGTGTGCCACCCTGGGGACAGCCTGGGGACAGCCCCGTGTGCCACCCTGGGGACAGCCTGGGGACAGCCCCGTGTGCCACCCTGGGGACAGCCCCGTGTCCCACCCTGCATAGCCTGGGGACAGCCCCGTGTCCCACCCTGGGGACAGCCCCGTGTGCCACCCTGCACAGCCTGGGGACAGCCTGGGGACAGCCCCGTGTCCTACCCTGGGGACAGCCCCGTGTGCCACCCTGCATAGCCCGGGGACAGCCCCGTGTCCCACCCTGTGCACAGCCTGGGGACAGCCCCGTGTCCTACCCTGGGGACAGCCTGGGGACAGCCCCGTGTGCCACCCTGCACAGCCTGGGGACAGCCTGGGGACAGCCCCGTGTCCTACCCTGGGGACAGCCCCGTGTCCCACCCTGCATAGCCCGGGGACAGCCCCGTGTCCCACACTGGGGACAGCCCCGTGTGCCACCCCGCAGCACCACGGGGAGCAGGAGATGACATCCCGGGAGAGGCCAGGCGCAGGGCGCAGAGGTGTTGGAATTCCTGCCGGTGGAATGAAGGGCAGAGCAAACCCGGCCCGGCGGATCCCGCGGCTCCCCTCGCCCGGGGGTTTGTCACTCCTCAGCCAGCAGGGCCCGTGGCTGCAGCGAGCAGCGGCAGGGAGCAGGGAGCAGGGAGCCTGCCCGGAGCGAGGGCTGTGACTGTGATGTCCACAGCCCAGCAAGAGGTGCGCCAGATAACATCTGCTCTCTACAGCAAGCGGCACGGGGACAGCGTTCCCTGCGCTCGCTAGAGCTCAACAAAAACTCACCTCTGGGCATGGCACGCATGGAAAGCCCCAGCCCCGGCCAAAATACAGTTTTTCAGGAGGTTAACAGCAGAGAGAACAGAGCCCGAAAATCCCCGCAGGACCCTGACAGCAGCTCCTCCCTGGGATCTGCTCTGAGCACCTTTGTTCTCACCAAGCCAGTTGATTCTCTCAAAGCTCCCATCCCCACTGTGCCAGCCCAGCCTGAATGCATTATGTAAAGAGCTATCTGCTTAAAAACAGAATTCTAATCAGTGTGAGGCACTCTGTGCTTCTCCCTGGGCCTCAGCTCTTTGAAATAAAGTTCCTGAATCAGTATTAAACATGCGTGCTTATGCAACAGGCAAATCCAGAGAGGCTCATGAACGCGGAGGGGAAGAAACTCCTGGCGGTCCCAGGGAAAGGGCAGGGCCAGGAGGACAAGCTGTCACCTCCAGGTGTCCCTGGGGCAGGACAGGCCTGGCTGAGGGACTGTGCCCTGTGTTGGGGTCCTGGAGGGGCTGGGGCAGAGCTGAGCTCAGGAGCCTCAGCCTGGCAGGGGACAGGAGGCTGGGAGCTGGGACAGGAGCCCTGAACAGCTGGGACAGGAGCCCTGAACAAGAACAGGAGCCCTGAACTGGGACAGGAGATCTGAACAGGGACAGGAGCCCTGAGCAGGGACAGGAGATCTGAACAGGGACAGGAGCCCTGAACAGCTGGGACAAGAGATCTAAACAGCAGGGACAGGAGCCGTGAGCTGGGACAGGAGCCCTGCCCGGACCCCTCTGTGAGTGCTGGTGAGCCAGCCCGGCGCTGCTGGCTGTGTGCAGCCGTCGCTCTGGGCTCTCACACCGCCCCATTCCACGCTGGGTTACCCCTGCACCATCCACCCGGCCGCGGCACGGCCTCCGAACCGCACGGGTCACGGCGCTGCCCCGAGCCGGCACCCGCGGGTTTGGTCTGTGATAACACACGCTGTAGGCTCCGCCGCCCCAAAACCGCTGCCAGCACGGCTCTGGACACCCAACAGAAGATAGCAGAGGCCAAGGCGCTAAGGAGCACGCACAAAACCGCTGGGGCGCTCCCCCAGCCCACGGCAGGGAGTGCGGACGGCGGGGCGGCGTTCGGCCGGGGACCGAGCCTCAGAATAAAAAGTTTGGGAGCGGGAGGGGGGGGGCTCCCGTGTTTTTCTCGCCGGGGAAAAGCGAGGAGGTGATGAAGGGGGCAGGGAGGAGGTGATGAAGGGGCGGCAGGGAGGTGGGGATGAGGCGGGTCAGGGGGCCGTAAAGGAGGGGAGGGAGCCCGGGCAGGAGGGGACGGGAGCGGGGGAGGAGCCCGCCGAGGGCCGGGGAAGGCGCCCGGGAAGGTGGGGAAGTGCCCGGGGAAGCGGCCGGGCAGGGGCGGGGAAGGAGCCCGGGCGGGGAGCCCAGCGCAGCGGGCGCCGGGAGCGGATGGAGCGGATGGAGCGGGTGGAGCGGGTGTTACCTGGGCCGCCGTCCGGGCGCGGCCCGAGGCCGCCGTGAGGGGCGGCGGCGGCGGCGGGGGAAGGCCCGGGCCTCCGCCCCCTCCCCTCCGCGCGGCGGGGCGGGGCGGCGCTCGCGGGCGCCGGGGGCAGCGGCCGCCCGCTGCCGGCCCCCCCGCCGCCTCCTGCCCGCGCTGCCCGCGCTGCCCGCGCCGCTCGCGGTTTGTTTGTTGTCGCTGTCGCTGTCGCGGCCGCCGCCGACACGTCCGGGCCGCCGCCGCCGCCGCGCATGCGCCAGATCCGGGTCCCGCGGCGCCTGCGCGGCGCCGAGAGGGGCGAGGGCGGGCGCGTTGTGTTTGTGGTTGGCGGGCGGCGCTGCGGCGGCGCGGGGAGCGGCCGGGCGCGGGATCCGTGACGTGCGGAGCCCCGGGACTGGGAGCCCGGGATGGGACCTTGATACCCGCCGGGCCCCTCATTCCCTTCCCGCCGCGCCGGGCTCTTCATTCCCGCCGGGCCACCCGCCCCGAGCTCTGGATGCCACGTCCGGGCCTCCTTGGACACTCCAGGGCTGGGTACTCCAACCCTGCCTGGGCAGTTCCAGCTCCTGACCTCCCTTTCCATGGAGAAATTTTCCTCAATATCCAGCCTGAGCCTGCCCTGGCCCAGCCTGAGGCCGTTCCCTCTGCTCCTGTCCCTGTTCCCTGGAGCACAGCCCGACCCCCCCGGCTGTCCCCTCCTGTCAGGAGCTGTGCAGAGCCACAAGGGCCCCCTGAGCCTCCTTTGCTCCAGGCTCAGCCCCTGCCCAGCTCCCTCAGCCTCTCCTGGGGCTCCAGCCCCTTCCCAGCTCCGTTCCCTGCCCTGCACACGCTCCAGCCCCTCAGGGCCCGTTCCCAGTGGTGGCTCCAGAGCAGGACAAGGCTGGCGGTGCCAACACTGGGGGAGCACCTGGGGTTCTGAGGGTGACCCCATAAAGGCGGCCATGGGAACACAGCCCCAAAAAAGTGAAAAATCTCTCAAATCAGAGAATGTTGAGATGGATTGGATTGAAAGGAACCTTAAAACCCATCCAGCGCCACCCCCTGCCATGGGCAGGGACACCTTCCACTGTCCCAGGCTGCTCCAAGCCCCATCCAGCCTGGCCTTGGGCACTGCCAGGGATCCAGGGGCAGCCCCAGCTGCTCTGGGCACCCTGGGCCAGGGCCTGCCCACCCTCCCAGCCAGCAATTCCTAATTGCCAAGAGCCCAAAATCTGTGCCTGCCCTCTGGCACTGGGAGCCATTGCCTGGCTGCTGTCCCTGCAGGCCTTGTCCCCAGTCCCTGGGCAGCTCTGCTGGAGCCCCTGGAGGCCCTGGCAGGGGCTCTGAGGTGTCCCTGGAGCCTTCTCTTGTGCAGCTGAGCAGCCCCAGCTGTGCCAGGCTGGCTCCAGAGCAGAGGGGCTCCAGCCCTGGCAGCAGCTCCGTGGCCTCCTCTGCACTGGCTGCAGCAGCTCCAGCTCCTTGTGCTGCTGGAGCCAGGGCTGGGGCAGCTCTGCAGGTGGGCTCTCACCTGAGCCCAGGGGCACAGGGGCAGGATCCCCCCTGCCCTGCTGCCCACGCTGGGGGCTCAGCCCGGGCAGGGCTGTGCTCCTGCAGCCCTGGGAGCCCGGCGGCCCCAGCAGTGCCAGCCCCTCCACGTCTCCTCACCAGCACAAGCAAACTGCCCAAAAAGGGGACTTTGGAAAGGAAAAGGTGTTTCAGAGCTAGAATGTTGCACCTTCCTGCCTTCCTGCTGTTGAGCTGCCATGTGAAAACAAAACAGACAGGAAATAGATGTGCAAAGTACCTCGTCCCCTGGAAAATACAATGTATTTTTGCTGAATACCGGGGGATTTTGGCAAGGTGCTGTCACAGCCACTCCAATAAGAACCAAGAATAATGGGAATTAAAAAAAAATTGTTATATTGCCCTATGAAAATTTGCTGCTCACAGTGTTCAGTCATTTATAGCCAGTTCCACATCCTGAGGACCTTACATTGAAAAGCAAAATATAATGCTCCTGTATTTGTCATCTCCTCCTGCGTAGATGGAACTGCAGTCTCTCCACGCCAGGAATTGCCGAGTGTGGTGCAAATCCCCCATTCCTGTAAATGTGGGGGCAAATCGCCCATGTCTGTTAATCGGGGGGCAAATCACCCATTCCTGTAAATGTGGGGGCAAATAACCCATTTCTGAAAATCGGGGGGCAAATCACCCATTTCTGTAAATGTGGGGGCAAATCGCCCATTTCCGTCAATGTGGGGGCAAATCCCCCATCTCTGTAAATGTGGGGGCAAATCGCCCATGTCTGTAAATGTGGGGGCAAATCCCCCATTTCCATCAATGTGGGGGCAAATCCCCCATCTCTGTAAATCGGGGGGCAAATCGCCCATTTCCGTCAATGTGGGGGCAAATCCCCCATTTCCATCAATGTGGGGGTGTTCTGGCCCCAGAGGAGAGCTCCAGCCCCAGGGCAGGGTCCCCCCAGATGCCGGGGCCATGGCGCCTCCCTCTCCAGGTGCGATTAACAAGCCCTCATTAAGCAGTTAATGAGCTGGGGCTGCAGCGGGGCTGGGGGCGGTGGCAGAGCCCCCAAACACCCCCCTGTTCCCAAAACCCTCGGGTGGAATTCCTGCCACCCGCGCTGCCTCCAGCTGACAAGCACTGTGCGTCTACGAAATAACAGCAATAAATACAGCCTAATAATCATTACGAAATATATTATTATTATTATTATTATTATTATTATTATTATTATTATTATTATTATTATTAATAATAATAATAATAAATTTTCATATCTTTATTTATATAAAATATATAATTATATTATTATATGAATTATTATATTAATATATATAATATATAAATTTTATTATTATTAATAATGTTATTATATATTAATATTATTAATATTACTAATAATATTATTATTAATAATTTTAAATATTTATTTATATAAAATATATTATATTATTATATGAATTATTATATAAATATATATTTATATATACATTATTATTTTTAAAGTAATATTATTATAATAATTATAATAATAATGATATTATTATTACTATAATAACAATAAAACTAATTATTATATAATAATTATTATGTAATAATTGTATAATAATGATATAATATTAATATAATAATTATTGTATTAATATTCTTAATAATATATGATGAACACTAATTATTATATAATAATAACATTAGTATTGTTATTGTTATTGTTATTGTTATTGTTATTGTTATGTTAATAATGAATACAAATTAGTAATAAAAATTGCACTAAGCTGCCCCCTGTGCCAAACCAGGGGTTTCATGGAGACCTGGGCCAGGTCCTGCCACCTGGCCAGAACACATTAATTTCACAATTATTCCCAAGCACCCCGCGTAAAACATTAATAAATACACAGTTCCACACAAACAAACACAACGCAGTCGGAAACAACTCTTTATCGTCTGTTAAAAAGAAAAAAAACAAACCCACAACCAAAAATACAACAAAAACAACAAAAAAACCAAACCAAACCAAACCAAAAAACCAAAACAAACGAAGCCAAAAAAAAAACCCACCCCAAAATCCCACCAGAAACAAACAAACAAACAAAAACCACAATAAAAACCCAAAAAACCAAAACCGACAAAACCCCCCCAAAAAACCCCAAGCAAAAGAAAAAAAACACCGAAACCCCCACCAAACAAACAAACAAACAAACAAACAACAACCACAAAAGCAGAAGCTCGTGTTTGTTATTTCAAGGGGCGGCTGCAGGATCCCGCCGGGGCCGTGGGGAGCAGCTGAAAGCCAGGCTGAGACAGCCACAGCTGGATTCGAGCACCCACAGCTGGATTCGGCACCCACAGCTGGATGAAGCACGCACAGCTGGATGGAGCAGCACCCACAGCTGGATGGAGCAGCCACAGCTGGATGGAGAAGCACCCACAGCTGGATGGAGCAGCCACAGCTGGATGGAGAAGCACCCACAGCTGGATGGAGCAGCCACAGCTGGATGTGCACATTCGGAGCACACCCAGGGCACACTCAGGGCACACTCAGAGCACACCCCAGGCACACTCAGGGCACACTCGGGGCACACTCAGGGCACACTCAGGGCACACCCAGGGCACACTCAGAGCACACTCGGAGCACACTCAGGGCACACTCAGGGCACACCCAGGGCACACTCAGGGCACACTCAGAGCACACTCAGGGCACACTCAGAGCACACTCAGAGCACACCCAGGGCACACCCAGGGCACACTCAGAGCACACTCAGAGCACACTCAGGGCACACTCAGGGCACACTGCAGAGCACACTCGGGGCACACTCAGAGCACACTCAGGGCACACTCAGGGCACACCTGGTGCCTTTCTGTGCTGCAGGGCCCCTCTCCCCGTTTCCCCGCTCCCGCTGCCCTCAGCAGAGGCCTGTGCGCCCCCCTGCCCTGCCCCGGGCTCTGCTGCCCCGGGACCGTCCCTGCTCTCACAAAACTCTCCCCATCTCCCTTCCGCCCCTTCCTTCCTCTTCTCCGCAGCATGAAAAGCTCCTCCTGCAGTTTTAACCGGTCCTTCTGCTGGTAACAGCTAAAATAAGAGGAACTAGCCCCGGAGGAACTCTTCCAGGAAGGCAGGAGGATGTTTAGAATGAGTTATTCAGAGCCTAAAGATGATTTTAGAAACTCTTCTCTTACACACCCGGCACTTGTTGAGACACCCTCGTGGTGCAGCAGAGCAGAGTCCTTGTCTGCTGTCGGGAGAAACCCTCGGGCACATCTGTTGGAATGCAGAGCAATTCCGCTCTCTGGTAACCCACAGATGATAACGGGGAAGATAAACCCACTGAGAACACAGACAACGGACGGTCCAAACCTCTCGGGGGCCGGCACAAACGTTCCCGTTGATTTAATTCAGGTCTCACTGGCAGTCAGGATCAGGAGGGAGTTTGTACCCAGGCTCTGAGGGGAGAGGAGCAGGCTGAGCAGGGGCACAGGGGAAGCTGGAAAAGAGGCAGCTGTGGCTCATTCTCAGGCGCTGGAATGCACTGAATGGAAAGTGCAGCAGTTCTGCACAGCCCCGGCACTGAGTGTGTCCGATTCACCGCCCAAAGCAGCCAGGGTTTAAATCCACAGCCACGACCTGGCCCTGAGTGCAGCAGTTCTGCACAGCACCAGCACTGAGTGCACTCCGATTCACTGATGTGCCCAAAGCAGTCAGGGTTTAAATCCACAGCCACGACCTGGCCCTGAGTGCAGCAGTTCTGCACAGCCTGGCACTGAGTGTGTCCGATTCACTGACGTGCCCAAAGCAGTCAGGGTTTAAATCCACAGCAATGACCAACCTGGCCCTGAGTGCAGCAGTTCTGCACAGCCCCGGCACTGAGTGTGTCCGATTCACTGCCCAAAGCAGTCAGGGTTTAAATCCACAGCCACGACCTGGCCCTGAGTGCAGCAGTTCTGCACAGCCCCGGCACTGAGTGTGTCCGATTCACTGACGTGCCCAAAGCAGGCAGGGTTTAAATCCACAGCAATGACTGACCTGGCCCTGAGTGCAGCAATTCTGCCCAGCCCCGGCACTGAGTGTGTCCGATTCACTGATGTGCCCAAAGCAGTCAGGGTTTAAATCCACAGCCACGACCTGGCCCTGAGTGCAGCAATTCTGCACAGCCCTGGCACTGAGTGTGTCCGATTCACTGACGTGCCCAAAGCAGCCAGGGTTTAAATCCACAGCCACAACCTGGCCCTGAGTGCAGACCCTGCAGCCTTCAGCTCTTCCTCCCAGGCCAGGGAAAGGAGCCTTCCCTCCCTGTGGAATAAATGGCACTAGAATGGCGCCAGTGTCTCAGCTGTGCAGCCAATCCCCAGACCCATTGCCCATTAATTACCCTGGCCTGATGCTGCCATGTGATGCGCTCTGCCCCCGCTGCCCTTTACCCAAAATCACCCATTCTGAGCCCGGATTCACATCCTACATCAAAGCCCTGAAGCCGGGCCCTGAGCTGCCGGTCACAGCTGTGGATAAACAGGAGTAAAAGCGGGGGTTTGGGTATTCCAGCGAGCAGAGTGGGTCAGGACAACAGCGCTGCTCTGCCCCTGTGTGGAACCCAGCGCAGCTGGAGCGTGCTCGGCTCCTGAGCGCCCAAAATTGGCTGTGGCACCACGGCCTGTGCACGGGACACTGTTCCTGTCAGAGAAGAGGAAACGCAGCTTGAGGGCAGACAGAGCAGGTGGGCACGACCCGCAGACTCTGCCTGCTGCACACAGCATTTCTGGGGCAAAACCAGAGAGATGGGCGAGTTTCACATTCCCCACGCCCGCCACTCCTGCCGGCATCATTGCTCTAAGAAATCAAAGAATCCTGTGGGAATCTATAAAATCAGAGGGTTTGGGGAAAGCTGCAAAAGGCAGGCCTCAGAGACAGCAGGACTGTGATTAGAGCTAAGCAGCAGCCATGAGATTGGTCAGCAAAAAAATTATGTAAGAAGTAAAAAAGAAAGGACAAATAGAACAATGGTTTGTGTATTAATGCTTGTCTAGAATAACTCTTTAAGTTGCAGAAAAGCGTATTTAGTGAGATATTAGGAAGTTCTAAGCTTAATAATGGAGCTTTGGGCATTGTGCTTTAAGGCTTACAAGCAGGTATTGTGTTTGAAATAAGCAAGCATTGTTTAACCGAAGGTACCTGTGCTTATGGTGATTGGATGGAACTGCTGTCCATGTGCTTTTGCTTTGTGGGATTGGTCACAAAACTTTTAAAGTGAGTTGTAACATTTTCAGTTTGCCACCTAAAACGTGAGCTAATAGCATCTTTTCGTTGTCACAGCTATGTAATGAGACCGATATTAGAAAACAAAACAGCTCAAGAGGCGTTTCTAGCAATTCAGTCTCATCCGTAATTTGTACTCGTTTGTAATTTGTCCCCAATTTGTCCATAATTTGTACTCGTTTGTAATTTGTCCCCAGCCAGCAACAAACCCCTCCACATCTGCAGCACGTTTGAATCCCAAACGTGGATGATTGGTGTGATTCAGTTCTGATTTACTGTCAGCACAGGCAAGGCAGAGGCTGTGCAGGGCAGGGACAGCCCCTGGATCTCACCTTGCTCCGTGTGGCCAGAGACCAGGGAACGCCAGCCCTGCTCCTGTCCCTGGCTGTGCTGCATTTCAGCCCCAGGAATCAGCACAGGCTCTGCCCTCAGACCCACCAGGGAACGCCAGCCCTGCTCCTGTCCCTGGCTGTGCTGCATTTCAGCCCAGCCCAGCACAGGCTCTGCACTCAGACCCACCAGGGAACGCCAGCCCTGCTCCTGTCCCTGGCTGTGCTGCATTTCAGCCCCAGGAATCAGCACAGGCTCTGCCCTCAGACCCACCAGGGAACGCCAGCCCTGCTCCTGTCCCTGGCTGTGCTGCATTTCAGCCCAGCCCAGCACAGGCTCTGCACTCAGACCCACCAGGGAACGCCAGCCCTGCTCCTGTCCCTGGCTGTGCTGCATTTCAGCCCCAGGAATCAGCACAGGCTCTGCACTCAGACCCACCAGGGAACGCCAGCCCTGCCCCTGTCCCTGGCTGTGCTGCATTTCAGCCCCAGGAATCAGCACAGGCTCTGCCCTCAGACCCACCTGGGAACGCCAGCCCTGCTCCTGTCCCTGGCTGTGCTGCATTTCAGCCCAGCCCAGCACAGGCTCTGCACTCAGACCAGGCTTTGGGGCTTCTCAGCTGCCAGGGGAAACTCAGGGCAGGCTCCTCAAGAGCACTGGCTCTGCTGCTTTGTGTTGCAATTTGAAATGCAGGAAATCTTTAGGATTTTGGGTTTGTTAAAGTTTGGAATTTTTAGAATAAAGTTTAGAAAAGTTTTAGAATTTTTGGTTAAGTTAAAGTTTAGAATTAAACACGGGATTTGAGTTGAGGTCTTGGAAAAGGTTTCTAAACTTAAGTGTTTAGAACTTAACTTTAGAAACTCAACTTAGAAGGGAGAATGTGGATTTATAGTTTAAAGCAGACACACATTAAGCTAAGTAAAGGAAACTTTAGTTTTAAAAATTAAGATATAGAAAAAAAGGTAGTTATAAAAGTAATTAAGAATGTTAAAACACAGTGCTGTAAGTTTGTGTGTTATAATATAATTAACTAAAAAAACTTACACTGTAGCATGAATCTATAAGACAAAATATTTAAGATTAAGTTCTTGATGACAGTGTTTAATTAGCTAATAAGTCTTTAACAGGTTTTGTAACTAGAAGTCTTGTGACCTTGTGAGCCGTGCTATGAGGATGTGAGCTGAACTCACCTTTCTTACTTACGTAAGAGATAAAAAAATAAACCACATCACCAAAAATAATTCCCGTCTCAATTCAAAATTCCTCACAGCTTCAGATCAGCAAATTCACTAAAATTTGGGAAGGCCCAGCTTGTGGTTTGAGGTGGGGAGGACAGGGGAGGGACGCAGGCTCTGTGCGTCCCTTCAGGGAGGGAGCAGAGCCACGGCAGGGACAGGCAGAGCACGCGCAGGGGACATTCCCCAGAGGGGCCTTTCTGCACACACAAACGTGCCTCCGTCGGGATAAGTTATCCTTTAAATGCACGGGAGGGACACTTTAATGAGGAGCACCTGCCTGGGGCCTGCCAGAGCGTGCTTCGCAAACGTTACTGGGCGTGACAACACGGCGCTGATGCTCCACAGCTTCGCATGCATTGAGCTGTAAACTCCCTTCCGACAGGAGGCCTCAACTCTATTTGTTCATGAGAAAACTTCACCTGCAGGCGTGGAACGAGGAGAGCTCCTGCCCCTGAGCCCAGCAACGCCCCCGTCACTCCCACCCTGTGGCCACAAAGGCCTCGTCTGTCACTGTTTCACTGGCATCTTGTTGTGAAGCCCTCGGTTTGCACTGTTTCATTGGGATCTCTATGGTCACAAAGTCCTTGTTTTTCACTGTTTCATTGGGATCTCTATGGTCACAAAGTCCTTGTTTTTCACTGTTTCATTGGGATCTCTGTGGTCACAAAGTCCTTGTTTTTCACTGTTTCATTGGGATCTCTATAGCCACAAAGTCCTCGTTTTTCACTGTTTCATTGGGATCTCTATAGCCACAAAGTCCTCGTTTTTCACTGTTTCATTGGGATCTCTATAGTCACAAAGTCCTCGGTTTTCACTGTTTCATTGGGATCTCTATGGTCACAAAGTCCTCGTTTTTCACTGTTTCATTGGGATCTCTATGGTCACAAAGTCCTCGGTTTTCACTGTTTCATTGGGATCTCTATGGTCACAAAGTCCTTGTTTTTCACTATTTCACTGGGATCTCATGATGAAGTCCTTGTTTTTCACTGTTTCATTGGGTCCTCCGTGGTCCCAAAGTCCTTGTTGTTCATTGTTTCACTGGGATCTCATGATGAAGTCCTTGTTTTTCACTGTTTCATTGGGACCTCTGTGGTCACAAAGTCCTCATTTTTCACTGTTTCACTGGGATCTCATGATGAAGTCCTCATTTTTCACTGTTTCACTGGGATCTCATGATGAAGTCCTTGTTGTTCACTGTTTCACTGGGATCTCATGATGAAGTCCTCGTTGTTCACTGTTTCACTGGGTCCTCCGTGGTCTCAAAGTCCTCGTCCTTGTTTTTCAGTGGGATCTCGATGGTCATGAGGTCCTCGGCCAGCGTCACCTGCTGTCCCGCCATGGCGGTCTCGGCCTGGCCCTGCAGGAGGCTGTCGCCGCCGGGCGGGTAGCGCTGGCTGAAGTGGGTCAGCACCAGCCTCCTGGCGCGGCACGCTGCGGCGAAGCGCGCGGCCTGGCCGGGGGTGCTGTGCCCGCGCTGGCGCGCCGCGTCCTGCAGGCCGTCGGCCAGCGTGGCCTCGTGCACCAGCAGGTCGGCCTGCCCGCAGAGCCGCAGCGCGCCCGGCCCCACGGGCCCCGAGCAGTCGCCCAGGACGCAGACCTTCCTGCCGGGCACGGGCAGCGACAGCACGTCCTGCGGCCGCACCCTGGCGCCGCTGCTCAGCTCCACGGCGCGGCCGCGCTTCAGCTCCCCGTACAGCGGCCCGGGCGGGACTCCTGGCAGGGAAAGGCAAAACAGCCCCTCAGTGCTGCACCCGCAGTGCTGTTACTGCGGCGTCGGCTTTAAAATGCACCCCTCGAGGTGTGCTGGGTGGAGAGCTGGCTCGCCGGGAAAAAAACACAGCCTTGGCATAAAGGTCTATCTATATTTCGGATTTTTCGTACAAATCAAGAGCTTGTAGCCTTAGGAGGAAGTGTGTTTGAAGAAAATCATGGAATCCTAGAATAGCTTGGGTAATAAGGCACCTCTGAGTTCATCCTGCTATGGGCAGGGACACCCTCCACTGTGCCAGGGATGGACACTTCCAGGGATGGGGCAGCCACAGGGAAACTGCTCAGGGAAACTCTATCAGAAAACCCCAGTTACATTGCTCGTAATAAAGTCACGGAAATCATGCAAATACACTGGCCATATGTTTCCCTGAAAGCCACGCTGAGCTGTTTAAGCTCTGGCACCTGAACCTGTCAGCTGCTGCCAGCATGAGCGCGGTCTGTGGCATTCCCTGGCACCAGCGTCACACACCAGTTCAGAGCGCAACGTGGAGGCCAGACAGAAAACAGAAAATTGAGTTAAAACAGGCTACGGAGAGAGACAGCTGCTCGGGTTTGCTAGGACACACAGGAAGGTGGCCATAAAAGAAGTAAAAAAGAGGAAAAATAAGTCAAAGTAGCTACCAAGCTCTTGCAGTATGTGCACTTGGAGCTTCCCGGGCCGGGGCTTCTCTTCCATCACGAAGCCGAAGGAGGGCACGCGGTGGAAGAGGCGGAACGCTCTCACAGACAGCTCCTCATCCTCCAGCAGCAAGTACGAGTCTGTTTCTGGATCCAGGTGCACAACTGTCCCCGGAGGCGCCTGGGCAAGCGCCTCGCCTCGGTCCAGGCCAGAAAAGTCCCGGAATTCACCGTCGGGACACTGGTCCTGCGTGGGGACCAGCTCGTGCACGCTGTAGGGCAGCAGGGGCTCGGAGTGGGACAGCTCCAGGCTCCTCCAGAGGAAGCTCCGCAGCCCCAGGGGCCCGTAAATATCAATGGGTGCCACGCTGGCGTCGGGGCTCCTCTGGAGGCTGAGCGTGCACAGCAGCCCAGGAAGTCCAAAAATGTGGTCGCCGTGAAGGTGAGTGATGAAAATCTTGGTAATTTTGGCTGTTGGACAGAACAGAGAAAGACAAAGCCAGGAAAAGACAGGAAAATAAATAATGTAAGCACTCAGGAAGGATCGCCGTTTGGCCAGATGTTTGAAACAAGCGAGGAGGGAAATTAAAACCAGCGCTTAATGGACAAATCCTAACCCAAAAGGGGTTTCTTTCCCCATCCCTTCCACACGAGGAAGATTTTGGCCTGACAGGCCAAGGAGAGGCTGCAGAGATGCAAGGTTTAGCTCCTCCTAAGCCAAGCATTCCACAAGCATGGAACGGGCCTGGCTGGTGACATCTGCCACGTGAAATGCAAGGAAGTGCTGGGAAACATTTGAGCTTAAATCTTACAGAAAATCTGCCGACTAACGAGGAACACAATGAGGAATTTGTGCTGCTCCTCCTAGCCCATGAAACGAACAAAATCAAAAATAACCAAAACCAAACCAGCATGCAGTTTTGATTTCAGAGTTTTTTAAGCGGCAGTAACCGCGCTGTTGCTGACTGGTTTGTTTGACACAAGAGAAAAAATTGCTCTGTACATATCTGGGCTTTCTCTGGTGCCTGGGCTGCCTGGCCCCAGCTGGGTCCTGCCCTCGCTGGGTCAGCAGAGCCCAGAACTCTCTCGTGGCAGACACATTAGGGTCTTTAACCAGGCTGAACTCCCGTCTCCACACAGCCAGGCATTCCCTCCAGCACCTGCCGGCACTGAGCCACAGGAATGACAGAGTCCCCTTCTTTTGTTTTAAGGTGATTTCAGTAAAGAATTTCAGAGAAGTTACTCCATCTACCTGACATTAAACTCCCTGATGGGTTTTGGAGGAGCAGAAGCTTGTATTTCTGTTCGTAACTGACAATTCATCTTCATTCTTTGGGGGAGAGAAGTCAGCTCTGGCCACTGAGGACTGTGGAAGCACAGCGGCTGTGGCAGTGATGGGAGCTTTATTCCTGATTCGTTTCCCAAAGGTGAAAGTTACCCCCATCACACATAGAGCCTCGCTTGAAGAGAGACATTTACCCACAGCAAGGCTCACCGCAGGTTTGTCTAGAGCTGCCTCCAGACAAACAACAACCAAAACGTTCCTGTTTCAAGCCGCTCGACATTGCCGAGCGCGATGAATTAATTAATTCCGATTGTCTGCGGGAGGCAGCTCTGTGCCGAGGTGGGGCAGAGATGGCTGCGGAGCAGGTCGGGCCCGGGGGCGGCCAGAGACGGCTGCAGAGCAGGTCGAGCAGCCCCGCCCAAGGCAGCCCTGCCGGCGCTCCCTGCGCTGCTCAGCCCGGCCCTGCCCAGCCCAGCCCTGCCCAGCCCAGCCCAGCCCAGCCCAGCCCAGCCCTGCCCAGCCCAACCCAGCCCTGCCCTGCCCTGCCCAGCCTAGCCCTGCCGAGCCCAGCCCAGCCCAGCCAGCCCTGCCCTGCCCAGCCCTGCCCTGCTCAGCCCAGCCCAGCCCTGCCCTTCCCTGCCCTTCCCTGCCCAGCCCAGCCCTTCCCAGCCCAGCCCAGCCCTGCCCAGCCCAGCCCTGCCCTGCCCAGCCCTGCCCAGCCCAGCCCAGCCCAGCCCAGCCCTGCCCAGCCCAGCCCTGCCCAGCCCAGCCCAGCCCAGCCCAGCCCTGCCAGCCCAGCCCTGCCCTGCCCAGCCCTGCCCTGCCCAGCCCTGCCCAGCCCAGCCCAGCCCTGCCCTGCCCTGCCCAGCCCTGCCCAGCCCAGCCCAGCCCTGCCCTGCCCTGCCCAGCCCTGCCCTGCCCAGCCCAGCCCAGCCCAGCCCTGCGCCCTCCCGAAGCTGCCCCTGCCCTCAGGGCACAGACCTGCTCGCAGGTGGCTCTTCATGAGCTGTGTCTGCGTCCCCTCGCCGCAGTCGAAGAGCCAGCACTGCCCCGCCCTGCGCAGCACCAGCGCCGAGGCCCCGCGGGACGGACTCGGGAAGGCCGCGCCCGTGCCCAGGAAGGTGACATCCAGAGACATCCCGGGAGGGCGGCACCGGGAGCACGGAGCGGCTGCCTGCTGGGACACGGAGCACAGAGCCACGGAGCACGGAGCAGGTGCCTGCTGGGACACGGAGCACGGAGCCACGGAGCACGGAGCGGCTGCCTGCTGGGACACGGAGCACGGAGCCACTGAGCACGGAGCGGCTGCCTGCTGGGACACAGAACACAGAGCAGGTGCCTGTTGGAACACAGAACACACACCAGGTGCCTGCTGGGACACAGAACACAGAGCAGGTGCCTGTTGGAACACAGAACACACACCAGGTGCCTGCTGGGACACGAAGCACGGAGCAGGTACCTGTTTGAACACAGAACACAGAGCAGGTGCCTGTTTGAACACAGAACACAGAGCAGGTGCCTGCTGGAACACAGGAACACAGAGCAGGTGCCTGTTGGAACACAGAACACACACCAGGTGCCTGCTGGAACACAGAGCAGGTGCCTGTTTGAACACAGAACACAGAGCAGGTACCTGTTGGAACACAGAACACACACCAGGTACCCGCTGGAACACGGAGCACAGAGTGGGTGCCTGCTGGAACACAGAACACACACCTGGTACCTGTTTGAACACAGAGCAGGTGCCTGCTGGGACACAGAGCACACACCAGGTGCCTGTAGGAACACAGAAAACACACCAGGTGCCTGTTGGAACACAGAAAACACACCAGGTACCTGTTGGAACACAGAACACAGAGCAGGTGCCTGCTGGGACACAGAACACACACCAGGTGCCTGCTGGAACACAGAACACAGAGCAGGTGCCTGTTTGAACACAGAACACAGAGCAGGTACCTGTTGGAACACAGAGCACACACCAGGTACCTGTTGGAACACAGAACACGTGTGCCAGGCTCTGGGACAGGAACAGCTCCCAGGGCACGGCTGGAGCTGTGCCAGGGAGGTTTGGGTTGGATATCAGGGAAAGGCTCTTCCCCAGAGGGTGCTGGCACTGCCCAGGCTCCCCAGGGAATGGGCACGGCCCCGAGGCTGCCAGAGCTCCAGGAGCCTTTGGGCAGCACTGCCAGGGATGCTCAGGGTGGGATTGCTGGGGGTCTGCGCAGGGCAGGAGCTGGGCTGGGGGATCCTGGGGGGTCCCTTCCGACTTGGGATATTCTGTGATTTGATGTATTTGTGCAGGGAAACCAACAAACATTTTTGTTTGAAGTGAAGGCATCCTCCACAGTTCAATGTGAGGATAAAATTCCCTTTCCCTTAAAACATAAAAGTAAAACCTGCCTAGAGCAGGATATGACTTTCAGACAACACATTATTCAAAAGCAGAGATTTCCTTCTTATGTCCTGGAAGATTGCAAACACACAGCCCAAGCACAAGACCTGTGTGGATTCCCAGAGAAAACAGCCCCATCCAGTTGGAACAGCTCTAAGCTCTAACCCCACCCAATAAATGAATAAATAATTTATTTCCTCTGAGCTCCGCTTAAATGTTGAGTTTTCCTGTGCGAGTGTTCCCTCTAGGAGCATTTCAGGATGAGTTTCACCCAGCAGTCTCTGCTGACGTTTAATCGTCATTCCCGGATTTCGGGAGCGGGCAGCCCGGAGATGCAGAGGGGGAAGGGTCACTTCCCCCAGAGCAACTTCAGAGAGGCAGGGGTGACCCGCGGGCACAGGCAGGGAGCACCTGTTTCACCCCAAAAGCCTGTGCCCAGCTGTGGATGTGTCCGTGAGGGTGTCTGCAGGAGGAGCCTGACAGGGCCCACATGGACAGCCCACAGCTCTCCCACTCACCCCATAGAGTGGGATTCCTCCAGCCCCAGTCCTCCCAGAATTTGCTCCTGCCTTCTTTTCAGAAGGATTTAAAACTCCAGGCGCCTTAATGTCTTCAGATAGCTTTCAAAATAATTTCTCAAGATCAGTTGTTTTTAGTTGAGTTTCCACAGCCTCCCAGTTTTTGTTCCCTGGGAGGGTGGGCAGGCCCTGGCCCAGGGTGCCCAGAGCAGCTGGGGCTGCCCCTGGATCCCTGGCAGTGTCCCAGGCCAGGCTGGATGGGGCTTGGAGCAGCCTGGGACACTGGAAGGTGTCCCTGCCCATGGCAGGGGTGGCGCTGGGTGGGCTTTGAGGACCCTCTATCCCAAACCATTCCAGGATTCTGGAATTCCAGAAGAAAGTGCTCTCTTCCCAGGTGGGCTTGCAGGGTCATCCCAAGCACGCCAAGGTGGAACCTGACTGGGGGGGCTTGGGGAGAGCCAGGATTCATGTCCAAATGCAGAAATAAACACTTTGCAAATGCAACTATTTGCATTTTCCTTTTCCTCTGTGTAAAATCATTGGATCATACAAGAATTGAATGGTTTGGGCTGGAAGGAAATACTTGAAAATATTTGTATTGAAAATACTTGTATTCCAACCCCCTGCCATGTGCAGGGACACCTTCCACTGTCCCAGGCTGCTCCAAGCCCCATCCAGCCTGGCCTTGGGCACTGCCAGGGATCCAGGGGCAGCCCCAGCTGCTCTGGGCACCCTGGGCCAGGGCCTGCCCACCCTCCCAGCCAGCAATTCCTAATTGCCAAGAGCCCAAAATCTGTGCCTGCCCTCTGGCACTGGGAGCCATTGCCTGGCTGCTGTCCCTGCAGGCCTTGTCCCCAGTCCCTGTGCAGCTCTCCCGGAGCCCCTGGAGGCCATGCAGGGCTCCGAGCTCTCCCTTTCGGCACCCCGGGCCGAGCTCTCCTCAGCCGCCCCCGGCTCCGCCCGCGCTCCCGGCCCGTGCTCGGCGCTCAGGACACGCGGTGGGGCCGGCGGGGACACCGGGATGGGCTGAGGGGGCCCGGCCCCGCTCCCGACCCAGCCCCGGCCCCCGGCCTGGTCCCGGTTCCAGCCCGGGCCCGGTCCCGGCCTTACCTCTCGGGCGGCGCCAGGCGGGGCGGGCGGGCCGTGAGGAGAGCCCGCCCTGCGGCTGAGGGAGCGCGGGGCGGATCGCGCCCTCGCACCGACTGTGTCGGCAGGAGCGAGTGCTGGAGCTGCACCGGGTCCGGGCAACCCCGGGATGAACCCGGGCTGGGGCTGAGCAGAGGGAGCAGCCCTGGGAGAAGGAGCTGGGGGTGCTGTGGGTGAGAGCTGGACCTGCCCCAGCCTGAACCCCCCTGCCCTGTTGCCCTCGCTGAGCGATCAGCCCAGGCAATATAACAATTTTTTTAAAATTCCCATTATTCTGGGTTCTTATTAGAGTGGCTGTGACAGCACCTTGCCAAAATCCCCCGGTATTCAGCAAAAATACATTGTATTTTCCAGGGGACGAGGTACTTTGCACATCTTTTTCCTGTCTGTTCTGTATTCACATGGCAGCTCAACACCAGGAAGGCAGGAAGGTGCAACATTCTAGTTCTGAAACACCTTTTCCTTTTCAAAGGCCCCTTTTTGGGCAGTTTGCTTGTGCTGGTGAGGAGACGTGGAGGGGCTGGCACTGCTGGGGCCGCCGGGCTCCCAGGGCTGCAGGAGCACAGCCCTGCCCGGGCTGAGCCCCAGCGTGGGCAGCAGGGCAGGGGGGATCCTGCCCCTGTGCCCCTGGGCTCAGGTGAGAGCCCACCTGCAGAGCTGCCCCAGCCCTGGCTCCAGCAGCACAAGGAGCTGGAGCTGCTGCAGCCAGTGCAGAGGAGGCCACGGAGCTGCTGCCAGGGCTGGAGCCCCTCTGCTCTGGAGCCAGCCTGGCACAGCTGGGGCTGCTCAGCTGCACAAGAGAAGGCTCCAGGGACACCTGAGAGCCCCTGCCAGGGCCTCCAGGGGCTCCAGCAGAGCTGCCCAGGGACTGGGGACAAGGCCTGCAGGGACAGCAGCCAGGCAATGGCTCCCAGTGCCAGAGGGCAGGCACAGATTTTGGGCTCTTGGCAATTAGGAATTGCTGGCTGGGAGGGTGGGCAGGCCCTGGCCCAGGGTGCCCAGAGCAGCTGGGGCTGCCCCTGGATCCCTGGCAGTGTCCCAGGCCAGGCTGGATGGGGCTTGGAGCAGCCTGGGACAGTGGAAGGTGTCCCTGCACATGGCAGGGGGTGGGACTGGATGGTTGTTTAGGTTCCCTTCCAACTCAAACCATCTTTTGATTGCATGATTCTAGGAAAAGACCTTAAAGATCATCACATGCAACCATTTACAAAGCCCTTTGGCAAAGGGACTTTTCCCAGTCCCGAATAGATCCAGCATTTTTGGTGTTTTTTTTTTTTTTTTTTTTCTCAGAATAAAAAACACCAGGTACGACTTAGGCAAAGGGAATGCATTTTACTAAGAAAATAGAAGACTAGAACACACATTTCAATAGAGTTACAACGTTATAAAGTAGGAAGAAACCCCAACCACTTCACATTTTACATACAGTTTTAGTTTCAGCTGAGCAATGACCCTCCCAGGCACAGCCAACCCCGCACAGATCAGGCTGGAAACCGTTCTCACAAGCGCCCCAGCAGGCTGACATTGATTTGCATAAGGTAGATATGTTTAAGATAGAAATAAATGCAGGTTATTTTGCTGTTTTGTTGACGAGGCAGCCATCTTTAGTCCTAAGAGTATTTTCATTCCTGTCAGGAAGGATCTGGCTGAAGAGCGGATGAGCCGAAGCCGATGGTAGGTGGAGAGCTGAGCTCAGCCTGGCGCCAGCCCCACGGGTTTGGGGAGCACCACCAGCCAGCTCGGGGCTGCTGCAGCACCAGCAGGACTCGGTGACAGAACCTGCTCCTCCAGCTGCAGCCGCGGCCCCTGGGGCCCCGGGTGAGTCCTGCCATCCCCACGGAGAGCGGGAGGCACGGGGGAAGCGCTCGGAGCTCTGCTGGGTCGTCCCACGGGAGCAGGCAGGGCAGGCAGGCCCACGCACAGCGAGCCAGACGTGCCTTCAGCAGCAGCAGCTGAGCGGCTTTGCCCAAATTCAGCTGCCAGGCCAGTGCAGCAGAGCTTTGCTCTGGGTTTCCTCCTCCCGTGCAACGCCAGTCCCTGCCCGCCGCCCGTGGCTGCTGGAACGGGGCAGCGCTTGGATCGTCCCGAGAACAGCAAGGACAGTGGCTCATCCAGCTGGAAGCACTGCAGCGAGAGTGCAGCCCTGGCTGCTCTCGCACTGACCTGAGAGCTGCAGACAGCTCTGCGGCTGTGCCCCTGCAAAAAGCAGCCAAGCAAAACCAGCCGGGACTGCCGGGGCTGGAGCCAGCTGAACTGAAACCTGGGTGGGAGCTGTACAATAGTGATCCCCACTCTCCCACAGGAACAGTCACCACGGAGGGGAGGGCTGCTAACGAGAAACTAAAAGGTGTATCGTTCATCTTGGCAGGTACTACCAGAGGAGTGTGACAGAGTTACTTTATCCCCGTAAAACAGCGTGCTGGAAACAACAGTACAAGAGGAAGACACGCACCGACCACAGGAAACCTGTTACACACCACTCTGCAGGTAAAGTGTCACTTGGTTTGAAGCTTGGAAAACGAACACAACGGATCAGGATGCATCACTGTCCACAAATGTAACCGAGAACTTGTGCCACGCATCCCTCTGGGGGGGTTTAAAATGTATCAGACAACATTTTAATCTCCTTCTACATGTCACGTTGGCAGCTGGGCAGAGGCTTCAGGAACACACAAACCTCTGCAACACCTTTGAAGAAAACCACAGCTATTTTATGAAGAAAGGCTGTGCTTCATCAGACAGCTTTACTCTCCCCAAAAGCTCCTACAGGTTGCTGCCAAGAGGCTCAGTCCTGCTCCTGCTGATTTTAAGGAAGCAAGGATTGGACAAATGCTGGAAGACTGACCTCACCCAAGCTCCTGATCCTCTCAGAGGGGTTCTGCATACCCCAAGGAGACATGGAAGACAGTCTTTTACAAAATCATTTGGAAGGCAAGTCACAGGGGCTGTGTGACAAGCTACAACACTGGTGGTCCTTTAGGTGACGTATTTTTTTAACTTACACTATGTAACATGACAAAATGCATCCTGGTGACACCTGTTTCCCTTTGCATACTGTCTAAGAGAATTTTCTGTACAGATAAAGACCAGTAAATATTTTGAATAAACCAGCAAACAGAAAAAATCATGTTAAGTAGAATATGAAAAAGGAAACTGGTTCCTTACTAGCCAGCAAGATTAGCAGTTGCAATTAGTTCAAGGATTAATTGTACCTGAAGGAAAACTGAACATGAATCTATGTATCTCAAAATCCTATGCATGAAAAAAAAATTACTTCTGGAGAAGATGAAAGAGAGAGTGAAATGGACTTAAAACCCTGTGAGCTGACCGGTTACCTGTTGCCAACAGGAAACGATGGCTGCACATGGAAGGGCAAACCCCGCCGTGCCCGCACTGAAGGTGCAGGGGATGCCCAGAGCCTGGCACACGGAGGCCGTGCTGGCTCAGGGCTGGCCGGCACCTCCCAGCCGGGACAGGGGACAGAGCCAGCCGTGCCTCCAGCACCGCCCGGGGCCGCTCCTGCTCCTGACGGGCCCGCAGCTCTGCTAGGGACTGCTGCTCCCTCAGCTCTGCAGCGGCATTCCCGGCAGAACCCCTGCGCCGAAGCGTTTGTGCCTGGGGAATCCCGCTGCCGGCCGGGTCTGAGCGGTGCCGGCCGGGACAGCGGGGAGGCAGCGGTGCCGGCACGGGCAGGGGCTGCTCAGGGCAGCGTCCTCCCGAGCCCGACCGGGCAGGGGCTCCTCCCTCGGGAACGGGATATCCCTCCCTCTGGGAACAGGAGCTCCCTCCCTCTGGGAACGGGGACCGCTCCTGCCCAAAGCAGGGCCCGGCTGCCTCCCCAAGCCGCAGCTTTTCCTGAGCGCCATCGAGAAGGGCCACGGGCTACGGACAGCAGCTGCAATCCTTGGGAACAAACAGTCAGCCTGAAGGGACATGGGATGGGTGCGTTTTGGGTGTTTTTGTCACTCATCTGCCTAACTGGCTGCTGGCAGGAGGGAGGAAGCTGTGTGTTCCCAGCACTCCGGAATCCAGTGATGCAGAACTCCACTGGCACAGTGCAACAGGATTCAGATAGAGCTGGACTTTCAGAAGGCAAAAAATAATTCATACATTGAATAAATAATTTCTTTTTCAGTAAGATCACTAATTTAAATACGATACAAACAAGGCAATAGCAAAAATAGATGAAAAAAGCACTCTTTGTAAAAACATCCTATGTCTGTGTGTGTGTTGGTGTCTTTTGTACATTCACCTGCAAGTGCAAGCTCCTGTGCATCTCAGCACTCAGCAGTGAAGCACTTCGAGCCCCACCACACAACACTTTACCACAGCTTGAACACCACAGTTTTTTCCCCACATCACTCTTTTCTGTGTTTATATAATCAGTCTTCTTTGCCCACACAGGCAGCACCTTCCCAAAGTTTACTGTTCTTTGTGTGAATACAGTTTTAGAGCCAGAGATCAGGCTGTAGGTGCCCGAGGGGGTACTGGGGCCATTTTCCCTGCTCTGTTCTGCGGACACTGCATTTTCCTTTGTAACCGAGGATACAAGAGCAGTGCTTGCCATGGGTAAATATCCTGAGCAAGCTCTGCTTTATCTCTTTGGATGATGTCTGCCAGTGCAGCGCTGCTGGCACATCCATCCATCTGTTTATTTACCCCTGCCCTTCTCCTGCCTTGCTGCAGCAAACTGGAGCAGCCTGGTGTCTTTGTTTCTGCTCCTGGCAGGCGGCTGCTCTCAGGGCAGGGAGCACACGCGGGGCCTGTGCCTGTGCAGTGACCAGGGCCCTTGGGCCTCGCCCCAGGGCACCTGGGGGAGTGTGCACTGCGGCACCTGCAGCAAACGTGCAGCACTGCCCTGGCAAGGAAAAGCTGAGCTGGGAACTCCTGCTGTCACGCAGGGACTCTGACAAACCGGGCCTGTAAGGGCAGGAAGCTGGAGCGATCGGAGCAGGGCTTGCAGCACTGCACCTTTTGGGCCCGGGGCTCACACTGACAGAGCGGGTGGGACCGGGGCCTCAGGGAGCCTCCAGCAGACTCACTGCTGTGAGCAGCTGCCTGCCAGCCCTCCTGCTCCAGCCCTGCCGGCGCCTGGAACCAGCCCTGCCTACGGGCTGCTGCCTCCAGCTGAGGCCACTTTGGAGCCCTCGAGCCAGCAGCGTCACAGAACATCACACGCGAGTCTTGTTCTGAGAACAAGGGAGAAAACAACCTGGCTTAAATAAAACAGAAACTTGAAAAAATTTAAAAAAATTAAGTAAAGTTCCTTTGGTAAATAATTTTGCAGTCCATTGCTTAAAATCTCCTAGTAAAATCTCTAAAAAGAGTTCCATAAATTACTTCAGGTCCTACCTCTACACAATAAAATTTATTCTTTGACAGCACGGCTTTGTTTTTAAAAGCAATTAAGTGATCAGTATTATTTTCAGGCTTCCCAAGGACAATTTGAACTAGCTTACATTTTTCCTGAGAACAGATTTCACGGAGTGATGAAAACAAAGCTGCAAACTTGCTGCAGACCCCACACATGTACATCTCGCTGCTCCTCAAGGAAACAGCAGACAATGCCACAAGGATGTCTGGACATGGGAGTCTTTAAACATTAAACAAAACAGAAGGCCCATCAGACTCTCTAAGTTGTCTTTAACTGCCCTTTTGCTTTTTCTAGGACAAGTGGTCTCCCTTGATGTCACAGCTAATGCAGTGTGACAACACTAGGACAATTAGAAGACTGATTATTAAAGGCAGAAATAAGTAATTCTGGGTATCAGCAGTGATGAGAGAGCTACAGTTTATCATCAAATGCATGTAGCTAAAATATCATTAATGGAATTCTTCGGTGTGGTGCTGGCTCTAAGCCATAAATGCATTGCTATTTTTTAAATTAATTTTGGAGGGCTCTCTCATCCCTGTGGCAGATGCCATTATCCGTACAGTTTATCAGGTACTTGGGAGAAATCAGGTGAAAAACAGGGCGTAAGGGGGGAAAAAACAACAACAACAACAACAAAAAAAAAGGCAACGAAATGAGCGCAAATAAATTAGAGGAGTCAAAGATCATGATTAGAGTTGGTCTGAGGAGGGAGGGAGGGAGGGAGGGAGGGATGGAGGGGGGGGATCCCTGCAGAGTGGCGGCGCTGCCTGCGAGCGGGCGCGGGGCTGGTCAGTGCACCTTGGACTCGGGCCAGTCGTACACGTCCGGCATGAAGGACTCGTACTCGTAGCTCCACACCTTGGAGCGGATGTAGCGGTTCTTGTCGGCCGGCTCGGGGTAGTGGAAGGCCATGTTGTTGGCGTACAGGAACTCCATCACCTGGGGAGGGGGGAGAGCGCGGCTCGGAGCCTGCGGCAGCGCACACACCGCCAGGCACGGCCGGGAAACGCGCGCTGCGAAGGAACAGCTCCTCTGCCAGACAGGGCATCCTGCGCACGACAAGGGCATGGGCAGGCACAGAGGAGAGGCAGAAAAGCTGCTCACAGGCAAGGGTGTCAGCCCGAGTAAATGGTGCTCACAGCTTCTAGCAGTTAGATTGATAAAAAGATGCCTGCTTGTCTCGTGGGCAAAGCAGAGCTACCAACCAAACAACGCATGGACAGAGCTACCAACCAAACCATGCATGGGCAAAGCAGAGCTACCAACCAAACAACGCATGGACAGAGCTACCAACCAAACAACACATGGACAAACAGAGCTACCAACCAAACAACGCATGGACAAACAGAGCTACCAACCAAACCATGCATGGACAGACAGAGCTACCAATGAAACCATGCATGGGCAAAGCAGAGCTAACAACCAAACAATGCATGGGCAAACAGAGCTACCAACCAAACCATGCATGGACAGACAGAGCTAATAATGAAACCATGCATGGACAAACAGAGCTACCAACCAAACAACACATGGACAAACAGAGCTACCAATGAAACCATGCATGGACAGACAGAGCTACCAATGAAACCATGCATGGACAAACAGAGCTACCAATGAAACCATGCATGGACAAACAGAGCTACCAACCAAACCATGCATGGACAGACAGAGCTACCAACCAAACCATGCACAGACAAACAGAGCTACCAACCAAACAACGCATGGACAGACAGAGCTACCAACCAAACAACGCATGGACAAACAGAGCTAATAATGAAACCATGCATGGACAGACAGAGCTACCAATGAAACTATGCATGGACAGACAGAGCTACCAAGCAACCAATCAATCAATTGAACAAGAGAGGCATGGACAAAGCAGAGCTACCAATCAAACAATGTGTGGCTGTGTAAGCCAAGATGAGAAGTAAATATAAACAATGTTTAGAAGCACAGTAAATGGCTTTTGCTCAATTCACAGTGAATCATGCAGAATCCTTTGTCTTCTCTCCTCAGCACCTCAGTGTCTTTACATCCCCACATGCCTTAGCTGGGATCTCAAAATTGAATTTCAGGAGTCAGAGGGGAGCAATTTTGGCCCATCATGGCTGCCAAGCTGAAGCATCCAACAAAGGGAACATTTTGATACATTTCTCTCATTGCAGGCACAAAGAACCGGGTGTTGCCCAAGCACCTCATATTCAAGGGTCACAATCTGTGCAACTCAGCAGGTTAATGTACACATAAACCACTTTTACTGCAGTGCAATTTTATATTTCATACTCACCTTGACAGCAATATAAATAGAAACTTCCCTGATATTGGACAGTGGAGGATAAAGTCTTCCTTGTGCAAGCTCTTCATCTGTCAACTGTTCTGCCAATGCCTGAGTCAGAGAAACAAACACTTTTTATTTACTAATGTGACTTTATTTACCAAATGTCACTAATAACAGAAGACCTGAGAGCATCAAGCTGCAGTGCTCTTAGCACCAGAGTGCTCCCAAAGCACTGGAGTGAGGCACTCAGGATTTGAGGAACTGAGAACCAGCACACTGACTGCAAACATTTAGCAAAATGAACTCTGGTATTCTGGGGGATGAATCCCCCACGGCTACAGGAAGCCCTGGCCACAGAGCCAGCTGCAGAACCCAGGGCAGGGCAGGGCAGGGGACAGCCCTGCTGCCACAGTAACTCACACAGGGACATGCTTGCTACCTCATCACAACTGCAACGGAACCTGATTCCTGGCAAAAAACAACTTTGTTGGGTCAAAACGACATTTTTTTTCCCCCACTGTGGAAGGACAAGCCAACAGCAACCCAAGGGGAAACCACTGTGCTTCACCAGGATTCGAGAGGGGCGCCCGTCGAGCCATCCCTGCCGTGTCAGCAGCCACAGCCTGCTCTACTGCCAGACTTACCTTGGCAGCCTCCAGGAAAACCTTATCACTGATGTGCCTGACGCTGCTGAGGATCACAGCCAGAGCCACGCCTACGAGAAATCACTGCCAGTTAGGGACACTTCACTTTAAAGGTGCACTCTCAACTGCAGCCTGCTGCAAGGAGCTGCTGCCAGCCATCCTCCAGTGCAATCCCTGAAAACCCTCCTGCAGCTTTCTGCACACACTGACAGAGATCACCTTGTCCCACTCCCTGCCTCGGCAGGGACACCCTCCACACTCACAGCACTGCTACCACCCATGGGTGCAGCCACGGCCACAGCAGGTGGCTCTGGAAGGGTTGGAGCTTTGCAGCTCAGGGAGGGAAGGGCAAGGCACAGAACATCCCCAGTACTACTTTTCTGCCCCCCTTGCGCAGATACAACTTCAAGAACTATTAACTCTGAGAGTTATTAGCATAACTCCAAGGGCATATTAACATCTTTTCTCCTTTCCTCTCCAAACAAGCAGCAGCTCCCAGAGCCTTTAACAGCACCCTTCTGTTTTCTCAGTGGAATCCAGCTGGGATTGCTCACTGTGGATGCATGTGCCCCACATCCAGCCTGGACTGACTGTCTGTCATCCAGCCACTCATTTCTCCAAGCTCTCAAATGCTGGCAACGCCTCTGCATGCTGCTGCGCTGACTGTGCCTCTGCACCCAAGGAAAGGTGCAGGCAGGCCAGCCTCAGAGATTAAAGGGTGACAGTTCCATTCATTACCTGGGAAGATGTAAGCGTTGTTTCCTTGGCCTGGTTTGAAGGTCCTCCCATCCTTCAGAGTGACCAGCTCGAAGGGGCTGCCGCTGGCAAACAGGCACCGGCCCTGCCGGGAGGAAGGGAAGGAGAAGGGTCAGGGTGGCGGCTGGGCAGGGACAGAGCCTGGAGCCAGCAGCAGCTGGGCAGGGACAGAGCCTGGAGCCAGCAGCAGCTGGGCAGGGACAGAGCCTGGAGCCAGCAGCAGCTGGGCAGGGACAGAGCCTGGAGCCAGCAGCAGCTGGGCAGGGACAGAGCCTGGAGCCAGCAGCAGCTGGGCAGGGACAGAGCCTGGAGCCACAGAGAGCCAGGGGCAGCAGGGGACATGGGGCACTGAGAGACAGAGGCCACAGGGGACACGGGGCACTGATCACCCTGCTCTGGGCAGGGGACATGGGGCACTGATCACCCTGCTCTGGGCAGGGGACATGGGGCACTGATCACCCTGCTGTGGGCAGGGGACATGGGGCACTGATCACCCTGCTCTGGGCAGGGGACATGGGGCACATCCCACCTCCTTGGAGGGACTGACACACGAAGCCCTCCTGTGTTAACCCTTTCCAGCACCCTGTGCAGGATGCAGTGCTGCTGTGTTAACCCTTTCCAGCACCACTGCAGTGCCGCTCTGTTAACCCTTTCCAGCACCACTGCAGTGCTCCTGTGTTAACCCTTTCCAGCACCACTGCAGTGCTGCTCTGTTAACCCTTTCCAGCACCACAGCCACAGGGACCCTGCAGACTCATGAGCAACGGCCACTGCCAGAGCAGGCTGGAGCACAATAAAAGGTCACTTTCCTGCTGGAGGGTGTGGGGCTAGAGGGAGGAACTGCTGTGTCAGGCCGCTGCTGCTGCTGCTGAGAGCAACCAGAGCAGAGAATAATGAGGTTTGCTCATCCTTCCTTTGGAAAGGATTTCAATTTGCACAAAATATCAAAACGTATCTGAGTGTGAGCCACACCCTCTAGATAAATGAGCCTCTTCTCAAGCAGTAAAGCCACTGAAAGCAAAAAAATCTTGACTTTCTTTTGAGTAACAGGTTTAGGAACGTGAGTTTAAAACCTTTAAGGTTCCCAGGACTACTGTGTTTGAAAACAAATTACCAAAGAGGCTGGAGGCTCTGGAACTGTGTTTGGGTGTCAGGGCATACCCACGACAAGAGCCTTTTTGTGCAGGGAGCAAAGCAGATGGGTGCAGGAGGGGACAGGACCAAAAGACAAAGCACATTAAAAGGCAGCAGAAGCCCTCAGAGCACACAGGGGCATCGACAGCCCTTTTACAGGGGCCGTCTAGTGGGAAGAAAATGAGGAAGGAAAGGTTAGGATGGTGTCTTTGTTTCTTTGTTGCCTCTGGTGCAGGAGCAGGCTGTCCCCGAGGCCTGGGGACACACGGGGTGACAGCTCTGATCCCCAAGAGCCTGACGGACTGCATGAGCTACGCGACACAGCCCGCGGAGCTGGACATTTCCAGGGAGCCACACAACAGTCAGGGCTCTGGAGCCCATTTCCCGGGTAATTACTGCATCTCGAAGGGAAAATACATTCTGAAAGGCAAGCTAATGCCCGGCTGAGGACATTTCAGGGAACCAAAGAGCACCATGAAAACAGGACAGCTGGGCTGCAGGAAAGTTTAGAGACACAAACATTGCAGAATTTATGAGTAAGGACCGGAACAAAACTACACCAGTTCATTTGCTGACCAGCAGTGCTCGATTGCCCAAATAACCCACACGTACAAGTAACTGGGAACATGGAGAATCGTTAATAAAAGAACACAGGGATCCAAAACAGGAAAAAAACCCAAAGATCTCCTCTCCACTGGGCTCAAACTTTGCAAACAGCTTGGTGCTCTTCCAGCTGCTGACCCAGGGAGCCTGTGCCCCCTTGGGCTCAGCACTCAGCACGGCAAACTCAGCCTCCTGCCCTAAAGCATCTCTTCATCTGCTGGTATTCCATAACAAGTGCAAGCAAAAACTAGGCTGGTTCCTCTAACTGTGCTCCTGGCCTCCTTCAGCGAGAGATGGCAGCAGTTTTTACATTTATTTATGCCAGCTGAAGTCTTGCCTGCACAACTAACTCCTGTTTACCTCCTATCTACTGGAATTTTTATAAACTGAAACACTGCCCAGCTCACTGCTCTGGTTAATGCTAGATGTCCGAGAGATATTAAACCACCTTAATTTACAAGCGTGTGCAGGGCAGGGAACAGAGCTGGGAAGGGGCTGGAGCCCCAGGAGAGGCTGAGGGAGCTGGGCAGGGGCTGAGCCTGGAGCAAAGGAGGCTCAGGGGGGCCCTTGTGGCTCTGCACAGCTCCTGCCAGGAGGGGACAGCCGGGGGGGTCGGGCTGTGCTCCCAGGGAACAGGGACAGGAGGAGAGGGAACGGCCTCAGGGTGGACAGCAGGGAAAGTTTCTTTACATAAAGCTCTGTCAATCCCTGTCACAGCTGCCCAGGGCAGTGGTGGAGTCCCCATCCCTGTAGGGATTTCAAAGCCGTGTGCATGTGGCACTTGGGACCATGGGACAGGGGTGGCCTTGGCCGAGCTGGGGAATGGTTGGACTCGATGGCCTTGGAGGGCTTTTCCAACCCAGATGATCCTACTGATAAGAGATAAGATCCAGACTTTGTCCGGAGGCTGCTACTGCAGGGCTCCATCTGGGCTGCAGATCTCTGGAGCAGCAGCTCCCTGGGCTGACAGCCCAGGAGCTGGGACAGATGGGGACAGCAGAGGGCCACGCTGGCAGGGTGACACTGCCACTGCTGCGGCTGTGCTGCTGAGCCCCGTGGGCAGTGCCAGGGAGGAGCTCAGTCTGCAGCAGCAGACAAGGAAAGCTCCCCACCCACCCCTTTTCACACACCACTCGCTTGGTTTGGGACTGTATTAAAATAAGAGAAAGAGAAAAGAATGAGTGCCCTCAAGAGCTGCAGCCTTGGAGCCTGCAGGCAGGGGCTGGGGCCAGCACAGGGATCCCAGCAGCTGCAGGAGAGCACCAGCACAGGGATCCCAGCACCAGCACAGGGATCCCAGCACCAGCACAGGGATCCCAGCACCAGCACAGGGATCCCAGCAGCTGCTCAGAGCCCCAGGGCCCTCCCCGTGGGCTCCCTGCAGAGGCCCCCAGCCTGGCACAAAAACCTGCACAGGGTGACAAAAGACTGGCTCGGTAAGGGATGGGATGTGCTATTGGGATGATGCTGGAGCTATTAAGGAAAAACCAGCCCAAACCCCAGTGCCAGCCCCGCAGGGTGCAGTGGCCCCAGGGGAGGGTGCAGAACCAGCTGTGTTTGCTCCTCGCTGACTCATTCCAACACCTGGTGGTGCCAGGGTGCCAGACACAGCCCCTGTGGTGGGGACAGGGGCCACTCCTGCTTGGGGACACGAGGGGACAGGGGCCATCCCTGCCCGGGGACATGAGGGGACAGGGGCCACCCTGCCTGGGGACATGAGGGGACAGGGGCCACCCCTGCTTGGGGACACAAGGGAACAGGGGCTACCCCTGCCCGGGGACACAAGGGGACAGGGGCCACCCTGCCTGGGGACATGAGGGGACAGGGGCCACCCCTGCCCAGGGACATGAGAGGACAGGGGCCACCCTGCCCGGGGACCCCACGGGTCACTGCTGGTGGCACCTGCAGGACTGGTGCAGGCCCAGCTCCTGCCCTGCTCCAAGGACTCTGTCAGCCATTACATTGCAAAGCTTGCACTGAGTCTCTGCTGTGAGGCCAACAGGCTTCATTAAAACACAAAATAATTAAAAAGAGCAGTGAGAAACAAGAGTTAATTGATCACTGCCATGTAACAGTACTGCTGGTCATTCTCTTAAAAAAGCAGTAACAAGACTCAGGCTACTTTAACTTTGCAAAACGTTGTCACCTACAAATCCAGGCCTCTTTTCCAACCAGCCCCATCTGCTTTTGCCAGAAGGCGAGAAAGAGCTGCGTTCTCACAGCCCTGAGCCCAAGCAGCGAGAGAACAATCTGAGCCCTGCTGCTCAGGCAGCCCCAGCAGGGCAGCTCCAGCAGGGCAGGGCAGGGCAGAGCAGCTCCAGTAGGGCAGGGCAGCACCAGCAAGGCAGCCCCAGCAGGGCAGCTCCAGCAGAGCAGAGCAGCTCCAGCAGGGCAGCTCCAGCAGGGCAGCCCCAGCAGGGCAGCCCCAGCAGAGCAGCCCCAGCAGCTCCAGCAGCCCCAGCAGCTCCAGCAGGGCAGCCCCAGCAGGGCAGCCCCAGCAGGGCAGCTCCAGCAGCCCCAGCAGGGCAGCCCCAGCAGGGCAGAGCAGCCCCAGCAGCCCCAGCAGGGCAGAGCAGCCCCAGCAGAGCAGCCCCAGCAGCTCCAGCAGCCCCAGCAGGGCAGCCCCAGCAGCTCCAGCAGGGCAGCCCCAGCAGGGCAGAGCAGCCCCAGCAGAGCAGCCCCAGCAGCTCCAGCAGCCCCAGCAGCTCCAGCAGGGCAGCCCCAGCAGGGCAGCCCCAGCAGGGCAGCTCCAGCAGCCCCAGCAGGGCAGCCCCAGCAGGGCAGAGCAGCCCCAGCAGCCCCAGCAGGGCAGAGCAGCCCCAGCAGGGCAGGGCAGCCCCAGCAGCTCCAGCAGGGCAGCCCCAGCAGGGCAGCCCCAGCAGAGCAGCCCCAGCAGGGCAGCCCCAGCAGGGCAGAGCAGCCCCAGCAGCTCCAGCAGGGCAGCTCCAGCAGGGCAGCTCCAGCAGAGCAGCCCCAGCAGGGCAGAGCATCCCCAGCAGGGCAGTCCCCAGCAGCCCCAGCAGGGCAGCCCCAGCAGCCCCAGCAGCCCCAGCAGGGCAGTCCCCAGCAGCCCCAGCAGGGCAGTCCCCAGCCCGGCTCACCCACCTCTGTCAGCGTGTAGGCCTCCTCTGCTGTGCACTCGGCCTTGGCCGTGGGGTTGCTCAGGGCAAATATGATGGGCTGCTCGTTGATGGAAGCCATGGCTTTGAGCACGTCCTGGGTGAAGAGACGGCCTGCCCCAGCCACTCCTGAGGGAGAGGGGAACACACAAAGCCACAGTCAAGGCTGGCTGCCCCAGGCAGGGACAGCCAGCCCACCCTGAGCCCAGGGCAGCCCTCCAGCCTCCCCCAGGGCACGGCTCCTCTGGCAGCAGCTGGAGATGGAGCCAGGCACTGCCCCTGGCTGGCTGGCACTCACAATTTCCCCAGCAACATCTCCTGAGCGTGCTCCAGAAGCCTATTTCACACAGTTTTTTGGTATTGATGAGTACAGGGAACATGGTCCTGGATAAGCAAGAGGGAATTCCAGGTGCTTTGTGGATGATTCATCCCTGCTGGGCGTTAGCTGTGCAATGCACACCTGACACCGGTGCTCCTGACCACACCCAAACCCAGAGGTACAAACACACAGCTATGATGTATTTATGCCCCGCCTACAAGCTCCAGGGTACTCAGCCAAAAAACCCTCTCCCTTTCCAAATAAATCACATGCCAAGGAAACTGCAGTCACAGCAGGAAATACCTGTAATCCTATCTGCTCTCTGCAGATAGCCACAGCTGTGATAAGTACCTACAGATGTCAGTGACCCCAGACGTGCTGGTGATCTGCAGCATGGAACTGCTGCTTCCAGCTGTGCTGCTGGCAGAGTCTGACCACAGAGGGGGACTGCAGAGGGTCAGAAAACACCCACACAGCTCCAGTTAGGGAACTCCTGTAGGAAACGCGATGGTTGTGGCTGCTCTCTGTCACTAAGGACACAAGGCTCAGAAGGAGCACCACAGCCCAGTGTATTTCCAAGTAGAAAATTGACCTCACATTTCCATGTTTTTTTTTCACATCAGCAGAAATGCAGATGGCTGTCACCAAGGTGCCCAGAACCCTGATAACAAATGAAGGGCAGTAAAAAGCCAAATTACAGAAAAATAAGCTCACTCACCGATGATAGCTGAAGGCCGAAGTACATTCACTGCCTCTACAAATGTCTTTGGTATGTCCTCTGGAGCCTTGTGGGCAAAGGGCTCCTGGTGGGGATCCACCTTCTGCTCCCGGCCCTGCAGGCAAAGCAGTGGTTCCTCCTGTGAGGACGGGGAGGGCACGGCAGGGCTCACCTGTGCTGGGGGATCCCCAGGCGTGCTGCAGCCCTACCTGGACCAGCAGGCCGTGCTTGTCAAACATCCACACTCTCCTGGAGGCCTCCTCGTGGGAAACACCGCTTTCCATCATGGCCATGACAATGAGGTTGGCGATTCCCAGGGCGGCCTGGCGGGTGAAAGCACTCGGGTTTGCGACAGGGCACAGCAGAGGTCTGCCATCAGACCCCACAGAAGCGCTCAGGGAGCCTGCTCTGACACACAGCAAGTGTCCCCCTGTGAGGGGCAGCCCCTGGCACAGCAGGGGCAGCTCTCCCCGGGGCTGTGAGCTGTGCCAGCCCAGCCCTGCTGCCACCAAACCAGCCCATGCTGCGTGCCCCGTGCTCCAGCCCAGCCCCGGCCCCAGGCAGGGCTGGCAGAGGGCAGCAGCAGGCTGTGCTGGGCCCTGTCCCCTCCCTGCAGGAGAAAGGAGGCAGAGCAGGCCAATTACTGCCACCAGGCCTTTCCCCAGATGGAGAGCTTCTCAGATAATGAAGTCATTTTGTCAGCACCACAGGAGCAATTGCGCTGATGCACCAAGGAGCACAGGGCTGCTCCTGGCACTGCAGCACCAGTAACTGGTGCCTGCTGCAAACTGAATCAATCACCTTGCTGAGAAGAACTCCCTGCACTTCCCTCCGGTGCTATAAAAATCAACAAGATGGTCTCACTACACCATGATTTTATGGTGAGTTTCCCTTCAAACACACACAAGTGCCTGGTGCTTTCTTCAAGGCGGTGCAGGGAAATGAAGAATGTGAATCCCTGCAAATGTTAAGCACCTTTCACACAGTCCTGTTTAGGCAGAGTCCTTCCTGCTAATGCATTTTAGCTGGCCTTGTATGAAAAGCTCTGCAATGGGGTTCAGAGAAGGCAAATCTCCACAATGAGAAAATACACATTTTAAGTATCTCTTGCTGCTCTGGGCTTTTAAGAGGACTCACCTCTCCTGCTCCAAGGAACAGCACTTTCTGGTCTGTGAGTGGTTTCCCAGTGGCTTTCTGGGCTGCCAGCAGTCCTGCCAAGGCCACTGAGGCTGTCCCTGTGAGAGCAGAGCAAATCTGAGGGCAGCTGAACACGTCTACATGGCAGGCTGTGGCTTTGGGAAGAGTTCCTGCAGGGATATTCAGGAACACAAACAAAGGGTGTACCTTGGATGTCGTCATTGAAGGTGCAGTACTTCTCTCTGTACTTCCTCAGGAACCGGAAAGCATTGTGGTTTCCAAAGTCCTCAAACTGGATGAGCGTGTTCTGGCCATACCTAGAGGGGATGGCAAACAGCCCAACACTGCACAGAGGCAGGGGAGAGCAGCAGAGCCTGTAGCCCATCCAGCCCTTATCTGTGCAGCAGGCTGCCCTCAGGCAGAGCCCGGCAGCGTTCTGCGCCTCGCACAGATAGATAACCACAGGCAGCATGCTCCGGGTCACCGAGGAGGGACAGACGGGGGACAGACACACGGCCTGCCCCAGCCCCCGGCGCTCTCCTCACACCCTGGGCGTCTGATCAGAGACAGCTGTGAGGGCTGCTCTGTGCCCTACCTGTCTGTGATGGCTTCCATGAACTCGTCGATCAGGTCATCGTAGACCTGCGAGCGATCCCTCTTCTGGTACAGCCCCATGTAGAAGGGATCCTTCAGCAGGGTCTGCAGGGAACCAGCCAGGGAGAGAGCAGGGTGAGCCCCTTCCCCAGGGCACAGCCAGCGCAGCTCACACCCCACGTGCTGCAGGCACACAGCCCCAGCCTGCATCAGTGCTCTGCAATTTCAGCTGGCACTCGGCGCTGGTGATGGCTGCCTTTAAAACTGAACAAATCAATGCTGCGAACAATAAACTGCTTTAATAAATCTAATTCCCATTCCCAGCTTCTTAAAAGTCAGGTCAAAACTGACTGCCTGTTTTGCAGTGTTCCAGCATTCCAATTACTTCCAGATGCACCCTTTCATGGGCAAATCAATGGGCACTTTTAAATCACTGTACAGTGAACTCCAAACCTTTTACCTTTTGCATAAAATATTCGGGTTTATCTTAAATAACAGTGCTCAAAAAAAAAGAGAAAAACCCTAGAATCCTATAACTCCCTTTTCTAGGAACTCTTCCACTGCACCCTTTTCTCCAGGCAGGGTTGGGCTGTGTTTGCCTCTCCTGGGGTTCTCCTCACTTTTTGGGGGTATTCCTTTTGACCACAGCTTGCCCACATTCCCCAGTTATAGTATGGAATGTTTTTTAAAAAAAAAAAAAAAACAACCCATTTTTATAGTGGTAACTCACTGTGTTATCAGTCCCAACGTCGATGCACACAGGCAGGCATTTATCTGGGTGTATCCCTGCACAGGCTGTGTACAAACACAGCTTTCCCACTGGAATTCCCATCCCATACACCCCCAGGTCTCCAAGACCCAATATTCTTTCTCCATCAGTGACGACAACAGCCTGATGGGAAAAAAAAAAAAGCAAAAAAAACAACAGGTCAAATGATACATGATCACTGAAATTTATAAAGATTAGCTCAATAGCAGCTGTGTTTTTTTCCCCAGGTGAAAACTGAGGTATGTTTGTACAGTCAAACAAAGAACAGATCATGAGGAATATTTTCCTCAACCCATAAACCTCACATTTAGGGTGAAACACTGATCTTCAAGATGTGCATTACCTTAATGAGCTGCATTCTGCCAGCATCACTAATGAGCTAAGAATGCATTACTTAATATTTATGTTTCCATCAAATAGTAGTAAATCTCAAAAGACTCAGCTGGGATGGAACAACCACTAGAAATTAAATCACACCATGACCATACCTTAACGTCATTCTCTGGCCAGTTGTTCACAATGGACCTAATGTGGCCTCTGTCTGAGATGGAAATAAATAATCCCCTGAAAGAAAAAAAAAAAAAAACCAAAAAAAACCCAGAAAAATTTTGTGGGTGACAATGGGAAATATGACCTTGCTTTTATAAAACTAAATGCCAAACAGGACAATTTAAAATTCAAAGTCTTACAGCTGCTGACATAAATTGCTCAAAGGACAATATCTGTTCCTGTTCCAGGGCAGGGACCTGAGGAACCCCTGAACCAGCCCTCCTGTGCAGGGTGACACAGTGATGGGCCTGAGGAACCCTGAACCAGCCCTCATATGCAGGGTGACACAGTGATGGGCCTGTGGAACCCCTGAACACTCCTGTGCAGGGTGACACAGTGATGGGCCTGAGGAACCCCTGAACCAGCCCTCCTGTGCAGGGTGACACAGTGATGGGCCTGAGGAACCCCTGAACCAGCCCTCGTGTGCAGGGTGACACAGTGATGGGCCTGAGGAACCCTGAACCCCCCTTTTGTGCAGGGTGACACAGTGATGGGCCTGAGGAACCCTGAACCCCCCTTTTGTGCAGGGTGACACAGTGATGGGCCTGAGGAACCCCTGAACCAGCCCTCGTGTGCAGGGTGACACAGTGATGGGCCTGAGGAACCACCTGAACCAGCCCTCGTGTGCAGGGTGACACAGTGATGGGCCTGAGGAATCCCTGAACCCCCCTGTGCAGGGTGACACAGTGATGGGCCTGAGGAACCCCTGAACCACCCTCGTGTGCAGGGTGACACAGTGATGGGCCTGAGGAACCCCTGAACCAGCCCTCATGTGCAGGGTGACACAGTGATGGGCCTGAGGAACACCTGAACCAGCCCTCATGTGCAGGGTGACACAGTGATGGGCCTGAGGAACCCCTGGACACTCCTGTGCAGGGTGACACAGTGATGGGCCTGAGGAATCCCTGAACCCCCCTTTTTTGCAGGGTGACACAGTGATGGGCCTGAGGAACCCCTGAACCCTCCTTTTTTGCAGGGTGACACAGTGATGGGCCTGAGGAACCCTGAACACCCCTTTTGTGCAGGGTGACACAGTGATGGGCCTGAGGAATCCCTGAACCCCCCTTTTTTGCAGGGTGACACAGTGATGGGCCTGTGGAACCCCTGCAGAAGCCCTCAGCAGCAGGGCTGAGGGTGATGTCCATAAACCCCTTTCAATCTACACTCCCTTCCAGAGGCCCTGTCCTGACACAGATCCTCAGAGCCACGGAAGGGACCCTGATTGCTGAGGAAACCCCCCCCTGGAATTACAGATCTGTGTGGCATCCAGGAAGAGCTGGAAATGGGGCTGAAGCCCTGCGCTTGGGGTATCTGCGCGACCCATTTCCATCTCTGCTTCCAAAGGTTTTGTTCCTCAATATACCCTCTGTGTCCTGAGATATAGCTTAAGAGACTTCTACTGCCCTGACATGGCACAAGCTGCACCCGGATGAAAACGACACAAACCATTTGCGAATCTCGGGTGAGAAGGCAGAGGAAAGGACAAGAGCAGAGAGTGTGCCCTTACTTTGGTCTCCTGAAGATGTGTCCGTACTGGGAGCAGGCCAGGCCCACGGTGGGCGTGTACACAATGGGCATCAGCCGCTCAATGTCGTCCTGCAGCACCCTGTAGAACAGCTTCTCATTTCTCTCCTGGATGCCCATGATGTAGATGTACCTGTAATTGAGCAGCACAAGGAAAAGCACCCCTGGCTGTGTCCCACTCCTGCTGCTCCCTCGGGAAAGCGCCCTCTCCTTCCCAGTCAGGCTGGGAGCACCAGAGGGAAGCTGGGGAGGGAGCAGCAGTGAGATGGAAATGCTGCATGGACACACTGTGTGTGCTGGCAAGGGAATAATGACAAATGTGACTAAAGACAGCCCAGGGATTTACTGCAGGGAGTCTCAGCACCCTTGTAAGCAAAATATGGGAAATAGTTTCCCATCCAGAAGATGTGTCCTGTGAATCCCAGCACCAACACACGCGCGCAGCAAACTGAGCCCTACCGGAAGGCTCATTCTGAAGGATGTGCGTGGGGGCATAAATTAAATCTGAATTTCTGCAAAGTTACCCACCAATCTGCTGTGTATCAACCCAGACCCTGTCCTGCTGACCCAACGACATAAAGATAATGAATTAGCAATCTGCCTCAGGCTACAGCAGCTGGGCACTCGGCCAATACAGATGACAGGACTGCTTTGGACCTGCAAGTGACAGGCTGTGGATTTAAGAGCCATCCTTCAGCTCTGATGAGAACAAAAGAGCTTTGATGTGGCCCAAAAGCCATTCCAGCTCTCCTCCTGCCTGTGGGAGACTGCGTATTTTCACAGGCAGAGATACACAAAGGTTATGTGAAAACAGTAATGGGATGCTAAAAACATGGCATCCAAAAAATAAAACACTGCAAAATCCTTTGCAGCTCACCAAACCAGTGTGTTAAGTAATAAAAGATATTAAAAAATACACATTATGAGACTTAAAAATTCTACCCTCGTAGTTCCCTTTTAGCAGGAACTACTGTCTATGTTAAACACTGGTTTTGGCATCTCAAACGCTCAGTTTACCTTCATTTTCACACATTTTTACAGACTGGGCTGGATGCCACCTGCTCTAACGACCTGCCACTCCATCTTACACATCACAGAAACACACGTGACGGGTTGCAGGCAGGTTTGCAGCTTTGTTACTGATTTTCGCATGCTCTCTTTTGCTGTTCTATGAACATGGAATATTAAAAAAAAAATAAGAAGATGGAAAAGAAAAAGAAAAAAAAGCTTCCCAACTACGGGATGGAGGAAAGCAGTTTTCTGTGCCAAAGTGAAAGCAACATCCAAGAAGTAAAAAACCCAGCGGAGGCACTGGAAACTTTGGTTACCCCCAGACAGTATTTTCCCATTTCCATCTTATTTCCAGCCCCCATATTCCCGCTCACTCGCACCACGGGGACAAGGCCGGAGCGGCGCTTACTTCTCCAAGGGGTCGGTCATTTTTGCCAAATTCTTGTGGAAGCGTAAGGCCTGGATGTCCTGCGTCTCTATTTTGGGCGGCAGGAGCCCCTGCAGCCCCAGCATCTGCCGCTCGTGGAGGGTGAAGGCCATGCCCTGGAAACGAGAGGTGAGCAGCAATCGTCAGTCCCTGCCCCAGCAACTCTGCACCCTGCTGCAAAGGGGCTCAGAGTGAAATAACAGCTGCTTGCTTTTGCAATTGTTCAGCTGTCACCCGGGCTGGTCCCTACAGTCACAGGCAGTAGCTGCACCTCAGATTTTTATCTCAGTTGCCCCATTTGCTGCTTTTTTCAGTAATACAGCCTGATGCCCGAGTTACTGAATTGCCCTAATGCTTCTATTAAGATCACAGTCCAACCCAAAGACTTCATTTTCACTTAGGGATGGATCTAACCCATTTGTCTGCTCACTGGTAGCAAATTAGAAGAGCTCAACTGCAAAAATTTCCCCCTCTTCTCCATTTGGGAGATGGAGAGTGGACAGAGTTTAAATTTATCGTTATTTAAATACTAATTTGAAACGTTTCTCAACCTTCAGATTCTAAATGCCAAGCTAAAAAAAAAAAAAAAAAAAAAAAAAAAAAAAAAAAAAAGAAAAAGCTTTGTAAGGTTTGCCTTATGCCTTGTAATTACACTCCAAATTCCTCCTGCCCTCAGAAAGGTCAGAGAATCAGATGATCCTTGTGGAGGGGACCCACAAAGATCATCCGTGCTGAACTCCTCAACTGACTAGAAATAAAAATCAGTACTTTTCCATTGACAGTAAAGGCATCAATAGAATACAAATATTTTCACCTCTGCTTATGTGAGAACAGGCTCTTCACAGGTATCTGTAGAACCCACACCCATTAACAAAAATTTTCAACTGGACTAAAAAGAGTCCAGTTGAAGTTTAATTCATCATACCTGAATGGTTTCTAAACAATACTGCTTAGAGGAAAAAATCCTAATTACTATTTTTACATTCTTTTTCTCTTTCCTGTTTAGGTCATATTTAATATCAGCTGTTTTGACTGCATTGACTAAAGCAGTGCACCTGCTTTCCTGTAGTGATTCTACACTATGCTCTATAGCAATAAAATACTTGAAGAGCTAGAAACTAAGAAAAAACAACACAAACCCAAAAACTTCACTGTTTTGCCCTCTTGCAGAAAATTTCAAGTATTTACCCTAAAATAAATCTGTTTATCTCTGTATTTATTTTCATGTCTGCCAACCTTTCATGTAACAGATTTGACACTAAATACTGATTTCAATTTAACCCTTCACTACTAGGACAGTAGAGCTTTTCTACAACTAGTCAGGAGTCATCTGCAAACCACTCTTTTCTTTTTTTCTTTCCCAGTCCAATTGCTAGTTTTCAGTATTCTTCCAATACTAAATACAAATACATTTCAGATGACAGTTCATTCTTCAAGTTTTTAACATTGCTGCTGGTTTTTTGATTTCTAATTGTTTTTGGTTCTTTTTTTTGGTGGGGTGTAACAGTCCCACTTTAGCCACTTTAGTGGTATTTTTTCCCAAACACTGATCTGAATAACCCAACAGTTCCACGAAGAACACAACCATGTAAACAGAGAGAAACTGACACAAGAGAAGAACCCACAGAGTCATGCTCTGGGTGCTCTGAGGTTTTCCCTGTGTTGCAAAGGATTAGTTCCACTTCTGCATACTTCACAAGAAATACGAACTCTCTGCGAGCAGAAATGCAAGCTCCACATAAACTCCTCTCAGCCATCTTCCCTTTCCCTCGACACCCCTGGCTTGCTGCCCTCAGCAGTTTAATACCTTTAAAAGCAGTTTAGGCCCCCCAAAAGCAGCCCTTTCCCACACAAACTGCTGGCACTGCCGGTGGCTCAGGCCCCAAGGCCCAGCACAGCTGGCAAGCATTTGTAGCATGCTGACTTTTACTCTAGACACCACAGAAACACAAACGGTGCCAAAATATGTGCAGTGTTTGGAGGAAGAAGAAGAGGAAGGGAAGAAGAAGTTTAGTCTCTGGTCAGCAAGGGCACTGGAGTTTGCAGCCTGGGGAAGGCCAGGGCCCCCTCAGTGGAGTCACACTGGCTACACTGACATCTCCCTGTAACCCCAGGGAAACGCCTCACGACCAAAACCTACATCCTCCCCTCCAGAAAGCCTCAAGTCCTGTAAAAACCGCAACTACCAAATTTATAATCTCTACTATTACTGTGACACCAGAACGTGGCTTTTCCCACTTCCCTGTAGAGTGGAACCTGTGTCCTTAAAACACCTGGGCCCCCAACAATGCCCGGGAGCCCCGAGCTTCGCTCCAAGCAGAACAGAGACCCATCTTTATTCACTTTATTCACACTCTCCTGTCTGTAGGGAATCTAGCTATTCAGTGTCTCTGGAGTTACAGGATGGATTTGTAAGTGACACTAAGTACTTTCAGCTGTTGATTTACATGACAATTGCATCTTACCGTATTCAAAGAGGCTTTAATTTCTGCCTAGGCCTAAATCAGGAATCAGAATGACATCAGCCTTCACACAGAAATTCAGTCCTTGCTCCAACTGGAACAGAACAAGCTTAGTCCAGAGCAGTGAGATAAAACCCCTGAGTCCTTCTAACACTTGCAGTATCTTTGTCCATGACCATGAGCTTGTTTTGGATTTGGATTTGGATGTGGATTTGCGATTGCCCTGCAGTATCTCCCAGAATGGAGCTGCAGTATCACACGCCCAGCACCCTTCCAGCCAGACCCAAAAGATCAGGGGCACAGCCAGACCCAGGGGATCAGGGGCACAGCCAGACCCAGGGGATCAGGGGCACAGCCAGACCCAGGGGATCAGGGGCACAGCCAGACCAGGGCATCAGGGGACAGAGTCAGACCCAGGGGATCAGGGGGCACAGCCAGACCCAGGGCATCAGGGGCACAGCCAGACCCAAGGGATCAGGGGCAGAGTCAGACCCAGGGGATCAGGGGCACAGTCAGACCCAGGGGATCAGGGGTAGAGTCAGACCCAGGGGATCAGGGGCAGAGTCAGACCCAGGGGATCAGGGGGCACAGTCAGACCCAGGGGATCAGGGGCACAGCCAGCCCTGGGAGATCAGGGGCACAGCCAGGCCCAGGGGATCAGGGGCACAGCCAGCCCTGGGAGATCAGGGGCAGAGTCAGACCCAGGGGATCAGGGGGCAGAGTCAGACCCAAAAGATCAGGGGCACAGCCAGCCCCAGGGGATCAGGGGGCACAGCCAGACCCAGGGCATCAGGGGCACAGCCAGCCCTGGGAGATCAGGGGCACAGCCAGGCCCAGGGGATCAGGGGCACACTCAGCCCCGGGAGATCAGTGAGATGACTCAGCCCACGCAGCCAGCACCGATTGCTCAAAGGCACACAGAAACCCACACCTAAGGCCCAAGCTCACCCCAGCTTTCCCTGGGATTAAGAGCTTAAGCACTCCCACGGTCTGGGTGTAAGCAGCAGGGATCACTGTTTGCAGGCCGGTGTCTCTCCCCAGGTGCTCTGTGCTGACTTTCACTGCCATCAGCCTCCTTAATCCTTTTCTCAGCTCAGGACAAGCAGGGGTCATCTCCGGGCCAGCACAGACAAAGCAGGGAGTGCACCCAGGAGGGAGCCCAGCACACCTCAAAGCCCACAGATTAATTAATTAACACTCCACGGGCAAATTCACTGCCACAAAACCAACCTTCTGCTGGGAAGGGGGAATGAAAAATGCTACTGGAGTGAAATGCTGATGCTATTTTAGTTAAGACAAGCTCACGCTGAGCCACCATGAACTTCAATCCACAAACCCTGGCACTGGGACTTCGCAGCAACTGGGCTCCATCACACAAAGCCCGTGCTGCTATAAATACCAGCACACACAAATTCTAGCTGCGTGCCTTGCATGGAGCAGCCTGGATGCAGGATTTTTATAGCACCACTAGGTAAGTAATTCTCAGAGGTTTCCAAGCAGAGAAGTAGTAGTGGTGGTAAGCCTTCCCCGCCCGCAGTCTTGCAGCCACATCTATGAGAGTGTACCTTTTAACCAACCATAAATGCTCTCACAGACAGCAAAAACCCCATCCAGGGACCCTGACAAGGATGTACATACAGTTCATATCCAAGCATGCCACTGCTTGGAAAATTAGTTACTCATGAGATTTAAAAAATGCTTTCCTCGTAACTCCTAGTAATTGTTAGAACAGATTCAGCAGGGAGCACAGCCTCTGAAGCAGCATCATAAACATCTTGAAAACAAAGTAGATTTTATGTTGGATTGCGGGCTGCTTCCCTTGACTTTGCTCCCTTGGGCTAAACACAAAGTTCACTATTGCACAAGATGCCTCCACTGGAAATTAATAAAGTTCATTCATAAGAATCAAAGGTGTCTTTGCTATCTCTAGCAGAGAATAAAAGTTTATGAGAACAGAAAATCTCTCCTGATTTCTTTCCTCCTTCATTTTTAAGCTGGGTTCTCTCCCGTTGTTCTCCCAGAGCACAGCCCGTACCCCGGCGGGTGTGGCTGGCACAGCAGGGCAATGCACACAGCCCGGACCCCAGGGCAGCTCCGAGCCTTCTCACACTCCCTCTCTCCCCGGGCAAAGGTGCCCCAGCTCCTGGCCCCCTCTGCAAGGTGGAGCGCCACCACTGTGGGCTGGTTGGTGACCCACAGCTGCCGGGGGCAGCTGGCAGCACTGCCCTGCAGAAGAGGGGAAAGCCAGGAGCAGAAGGGCTCCACTCCCTGCCAAGGAAGTGGCCCAGCCTCTCCTGGGTGCGTTTCCATGGGCACCACGGCAGAGCTGCGCACTGCGAGTCCTGAGCACCACGACTGCAGTGGGATATCCCTGGGGATGCGGCTGCTCCTGCTCTCCTCAAGGGCATTAATCCCATGGGAAGCACCCCCAGGCAGTGCCCTTCCTCCACCCGCCACCCCCAGCCCAGAGGTGCTGAGCACAACGCCTGCTCCAAGGCAAATGAGGCTGGGTACCCTGCCACCACCTTTGCACCTGGTTACAGATTAAACAGCTCCGTGTGCCAGGTGTAATTCCTTCTGAGAGCACACCGATCTCAGGGAAGCTGATAAAACCTGCAGGTGCGTGGCCATGCCGGCTCCATCCAAGAGCCCCTCCATGTCCAAACCACTTGGGCAGGACACAGACCTGCCCTGGGACTTTTGGGCTGGGGGCGTGTGCTCAGTTTCTGTCATTTTCCTGCCTTCTGGGGTCTTTCCTCCTCGCTGACCACAAACTGATAGCAACGTTTCAAGCACTGCACTTCTTAGCAATGGTCACCATCTGCATTCCCTCCCCACATCCTGTTTATCCTGGCTTCCCCAGGAAGGCACAGGGGCACTGTGTATTCCATGCCCTGGCTGCTCAACACAGCTGGCTAAGCCTGAATCTAAAATGTATTAAAATAAATGAAATGTGTCAAGCCAGCATGGTGAGAAAGGGCAGTGCAAGGGAACACCTACTTTTACATCTTCAAGCTCATACAATCCTTTCTTTACACTCTCTTGTGTTGTCCCTTTTATTTTGTCAAAATAGCTTTGACTTTGATTGGGTTTTTTCTGTTTATTTTTTATTCTGAGTGGGAAATGTACGGTTAGGGTATTTGTGGTCAGGTACAAGCTTGCTAAGAAAATTGCCTCTTTATGCAAAAGTAAATTTATCACAGTGTCTGCAGTTTCTGGAAGTATTCTGGAAGCCATGCGTGAAAATAAATTGGGCTGAAAAAGCTGTGAATGAACACAGATGAAACTGTGAGCAAAATATAACATATGAGAAGATGGCCATCTGCATGAAAGATAAGACCCTGGTAAAATTCCTCAGGATCAGTCTGGGATTATTAACCTGCCACCAGTGAATGTTTCTTTAACATTTATCACGTATTTCCATGCACGTATCTATTGCCATTCCAGGCAGATACATGCACACAAATATGTGCATATGTAAATCCTAAAGGATTTACCTGCTGAAGCCAGAATTTTGAGAAGCACTGTCGGTGCAGGAGGAGTTTTTGGACATCAGCAGGGATTTCCCCAAGGAAAGGGAGGTCAGGAACTGGAACTGCCCAGGGAGATGTTGGAGTGCCCATCCCTGGAGGTGTCCAAGGAGGGCCTGGATGTGGCACTGAGAGCTCTGGGCTGGGTGACAAGGTGGGGATCGGGTGACAGGCTGGACTCGATGGCTGGGAGGGCTTTTCCAACCTAGGGATTCTGTGATAACAGTCCCGAGGAAGAGTCACGGAAAACGGGGTAATGGAACCCACAGCACAAAATACCATCACCCTTCTTCACCAAAATAACCAACTAAAATAACCAACTGAAGTACAGGAAGTGTCACCAACTATGCAGTGACAGATTTTCTGCAAGCTGCAGAAAACAAACACGCAGATAACGTTACAGGTCATGTGCTTCCAGCGGAGACAAGAACACTGTGACGGCACTCCACGTGGCAGAGCAGACATCCCCAGTCAGGGATCTTGTCCTCCCGCATCGCTTGCTCTGTGCTGGAAGAACAAACCCTGCCCCATCTCAGGCCCTGCACCCTACCAGTGATGATTTAATTGCCAGCACTAAACCACGGAGATTGTCCTCACAGTGCTCTAAGCAAGCTGAAAATGCTGCCTGGGCACAGCAGGGACCCCCGGCAGAACAGGAGGTGCTGCAGCCAATTAACTGCACTGGAAGGCCGGTCAGGGAGCAGCAGCCACACAGCACACAGGGCTCTGAGGCAGGAGCATGCCACAGCAGCTGCTGGCTGCAGCACTGAGATGGCCCAGAGAGCTCACTGCCTCCTTGAGCCACCCTGACAACGAACACCTCCAACCTGCTCTTCAAACACCAAAACCAGCCGGCGCAGATGTGTGTCCACCTGCAACACACGGCTCAGGGTGGGCAAGGAGAGAAACACACACAGAGTTCAACACACGGCTCAGGGTGGGCAAGGAGAGAAATACACACAGAGTTCAACACACGGCTCAGGGTGGGCAAGGAGAGAAACACACACAGCCCAACACACGGCTCAGGGTGGGCAAGGAGAGAAACACACACAGCCCAACACACGGCTCAGGGTGGGCAAGGAGAGAAACACACACAGAGTTCAACACATGGCTCAGGGTGGGCAAGGAAAGAAACACACACAGAGTTCAACACATGGCTCAGGGTGGGCAAGGAGAGAAACACACACAGAGTTCAACACATGGCTCAGGGTGGGCAAGGAGAGAAACACACACAGAGTTCAACACATGGCTCAGGGTGGGCAAGGAAAGAAACACACACAGCTCGGGGTGGGCAAGAAAAGAAAACCACACAGCCCAACACACAGCTCAGGGTGGGCAAGGAAAGAAACACACACAGCTCAGGGTGGGCAAGGAAAGAAAAACAATTCTTATCTGTAAGATAAAACCCTGCTCCAGTGGCAAAGAGCAACAGATAAGTTTGCACAAGGGTGAGGGCTGGTTCCTGCCCCTGATGCTGTCCTTCTGCAGCTCTTGTTTTAGGGACACGTGCCTTAGGGGAGACCAAATGTTCTGCAGGGTTGATAGAGGATGTAAAAATTAAATCTAATCAAGCAAAACATGATAACCTCAACAAGCTGACAGCAAGAAATAACACCCTTTATCTGTTTCTGTACGTAGATAATATATCTATCTATCTATACACAAGTGAGGCACAGGGGGTAAAGTACTCGGTGTGTTGTTTAATGAATCATTTATGTCTTTGCTGAATATCCAAAATGCATTTCCATACAGATACTGCATCCAGCAGTATCACTCAGTGAGCTTTCTGATCATTCCAACAGGCGTCAGCAGGAAGGACGGGCTGATACAGCAGAGACAAACTAATGCACAACGGGGTTCCCTCTCACAGTGTAACTTCTTGGAGGCATTGAAATATTCACAAAATCAATTGCCATTAACTAGAAGCTCCCTACTCCCTTCTACTCCCCAAGAAAAAAAATTGTGCTCAGTCTAGCTGAGAATTCCAGGGTTAAAAAAAAAAATGGAAGGATATTGCCACTAGAAAAACAGTAAGAAATGACTTATTGTTCTTGTTTCAGAATACTATTGCATAATCAGCATTTGGAAAAGCTTACAGGGGTTGAAGTAATTTCCATGGCCATGTCAAAGTCTTTAGAACTCAGAAAGTCTCGAGGCAGTCTGATCTTGACAAATCACACCAATCTACTCTTTTCTCTTTCCCTGACACAGCAATCTCAGCTTCAGTTTTGCAGACAGCCAGTCTCTACCTTCCACAGCTCTCTCTCCCTCTCTAGGCAGCCTGGATTCATGCAGGATTGAGGCATCTTGCACTCTGCTGTCCAAGGCAGAAAGGGAAGGGTAGAATAACCCAGCCCCACTGCTCAGGAAGTGCCCTGAGCAGAGACAGGGCAAATGTCAGAGACAGGCAGACTTGTCACCTTTCTTGAGCACTTCAGACATCTCGGACCAGCCACCAAAAGCTCTCATCTGATTTCTTACCAGTTTTAATTTACACATTAATGGCTGCAAGATTCCTGAAGGGCACTACGACTCCAGTGGGGAAAAAAAAACAAACCAAAAGAGGTTGAGGATGGGCTTGTGCAAACAGGAACAGTTTTGTGAAGGGAACAAAATGCTACTTTCTTAGAAGTCTGCCCCAAAGCATGGAATTAACACGATATCTGTACCTCCCAGCCAGCTCCCACCAAGGTTTATTTTTAGATGCTCTTTCAGACTCTGCAGAGGGATATTTCTCAGGTGATGTGGCTCAGCCCTAGCTCTCAGTGTCCCAGGAAAGGGCCAGGGCTAGGAGAGAGAGGCTAATGCTTCCTGTGGTTAGTGGATTCAGAGTTAACTTTTGCAAACTTTCAGGTCAGTCCCTCTCCCTTCTAAAGCTCTGCCTGGGCTCAGCAGTGCCAGCAGCCCCTCGTGTGCCCAGGGCAGCCCTGGCAGCGAGGACAGAGCCGGGCTGGCCGGAGCAGCGGGGCAGGAGCTGCTGCCTGCCCCCCGCCCCGCCCTGGCTGTGTCAGGGCGCAGGACCATCGGCAGACACAGGTCGGACAGACAGACAGACAGACAGGACACAGACCCACCTTGTTGGTGCGCGGGTTGAGCATGAGTGGCTTGCCCTTCTCCTTGGTGTGCAGGCTGCGCCGCGCCATCGCGCAGGGCGCCGCGGCCGCGCGCAGTCGGGACAGCATCCTCCTCCTCCTCCTCCTCCTCCTCCGGAGCACCTGGCGGGGCAAAGGCAGCACTGAGGCACCCACAGAGCCCCTGAAACACCCATTGTGGGCAAAGGCAGCACTCAGGCACCCACAGAGCCCCTGAAACACCCACTGTGGGCAAAGGCAGCACTCAGGCACCCAGAGAGCCCCTGAAACACCCACTGTGGGCAAAGGCAGCACTCAGGCACCCACAGAGCCCCTGAAACACCCACTGTGGGCAAAGGCAGCACTCAGGCACCCACAGAGCCCCTGAAACACCCACAGCGGGCAAAGGCAGCACTCAGGCACCCACAGAGCCCCTGAAACACCCACTGTGGGCAAAGGCAGCACTCAGGCACCCACAGAGCCCCTGAAACACCCACTGTGGGCACAGGCAGCACTCAGGCACCCACAGAGCCCCTGAAACACCCACTGTGGGCAAAGGCAGCACTCAGGCACCCACAGAGCCCCCGACACAGCCAGTGCAGGCAAAGGCAGCACTCAGGCACCCACAGAGCCCCTGAAACACCCACTGTGGGCACAGGCAGCACTCAGGCACCCACAGAGCCCCTGACACAGCGACTGTGGGCAAAGGCAGCACTCAGGCACCCAGAGAGCCCCTGAAACACCCACTGTGGGCAAAGGCAGCACTCAGGCACCCACAGAGCCCCTGACACAGCCAATGCAGGCAAAGGCAGCACTCAGGCACCCACAGAGCCCCCGACACAGCCACTGTGGGCAAAGGCAGCACTCAGGCACCCACAGAGCCCCTGAAACACCCACTGCGGGCAAAGGCAGCACTCAGGCACCCACAGAGCCCCCGACACAGCCAGTGCAGGCAAAGGCAGCACTCAGGCACCCACAGAGCCCCCGACACAGCCACTGTGGGCACAGGCAGCACTCAGGCACCCACAGAGCCCCCGACACAGCCACTGTGGGCATAGGCAGCACTCAGGCACCCACGGAGCCAGCAGAGCCCCCGACACAGCCACTGCGGGCTCCTGGTGCCACAGAGAAGCACCTGCAGTGTGAGATCCCTTCTAACACCAGGAAGCAACAGCCCAGATCTGCCCTGCGGCAGCCAGGAGGAGGGAAAGGGCGGAAGGGCTCGCTCGGAGTGCCGAGAGCACAGAGTGGAGGGAACACAGGGATCCTGCCGGCAGAGCAGAAATGCCAGCAGGGACTTCAGCTGTCCCTGGTGACCCGTGGGACCGGCACTGGCGCAAATGGCAGCCAGGACAGCACAGCCTGGGCAGGTGCAGCCACGAAATCCCCACTGAGATCCTCTGGAGCTCTCCAACAACAAAATCTCCTGGCCTGGACAACAGGAGATTCTCTGCTGGCCTGGAGAGAAGCTGTGTCTGTCAGCATACTGAAACCCTGCTACAACAAAATGTGGAATTAAAATGGCCAAAAACTCCACTGATCTGTGGATTCCAGGCTCAGATTTTTACACTTCCAAACTTTAAAAATAGTTTAAAAAAAACTTTATTTTCAGAGTCTATATCCTTTAAAGTAAAGGATGCTCCCCTAAAAAAATTTAAAATTGTTAATATAACTCAAGCTCTAATCCTGACAGGTGTTAGCAACTCTTGGACTCATTTTACTCCATTACTGATCACAAGCTCTTTGGAGAAGAAATTACCATTTACCACACGCTCGTATAAGGCAGGACCAGCAGGGAACGTGCAGTGGGGATCTCTGGAATCCCAGAGATTGTTTCACTGAGCCAGAGAGACAACGGGAAGCAGGGCAGGACCTCACCAGGACCAAGGTCTGTGTGGTGACACAGGGAGGGGACACGCCAGCCAGGCCAGCAGGGGACCAGGAGAGGGGACCCGTCACCCCCCGGCCCAGCTCCACGCTCACAGCCCAGACAGGCAGGGACAGGGAAGCAGGGCATGAGATATTTTTAAGGAATGAAATGATGCATGGCTTGCATTTTTAATTTCTTCCAGATGGGAGACAAAATTGAATTAAGGAACAAAACTTCATTATCTTAAATATCGCCTGAATACTTTAGAAGACCTGCTCTAATCAAATTTGCACATAATCAGCTTTTAAGATGGCAGACTGGTCTTACAAGTTACAATCTGAGGATTTTCTTGAATATCTTTCCAAGCATTAAAAAAACAGGCAAACATTTAACATTTTTCATCATCAGTTATGCCCGAGTTTCTCTTCTGCCCACTACAAAGCGTAGAGGGAAGCTGCTCTGCATCCGGACGCAGCCCTTCCCCTCAACCTTCACTTGTTTGTTGAGGCCTGTGAATGACAAAAGTTCCACTCAAACCCCCTGTGCTGATTTTGTTTTGGGGTAAAGACCATAAATTTGCTGCGTGGAGTGGGACAGGAGGCAGGGGAGGAAGCCTTGCCAGCAGCACCAACAAATGCAGCCTCGAACGTGCTCGTTCCTCCCCAAACCTGCTGGTGGTGGAGTGAGCACTCGGGAAATCAGGATCAGACTCGGGAAATTAATTCTGTGCTGCAAAACACATTAATTCCAGATCAGTTTTAGCTGGTTTTAGTTCTGGTTGCTCACTCGCCATCCCCCCAGGGCTGCAGGTCCATCTCCCCTTTTTGGCAGGGGAGCCCAGAAAGGGTCTGTGACTCCAGTGTCACAGCAAACCCCATCCCAGAGTCCCATCGGCCTGGGGCCACCGTGGCGTCAACCTGCCACCAGCAAACGCCTCAAACAAGCAATTAAAAAGTAGGACAAGCACCACACCCTACCAAACTCTAATTAAATTTAAATTACTTTGGTGCAATTAATGAGCATTGAAGAACCAAACAAGATTGTGGCCCAGATTCACCTGAACTTGATCAATTAACTCTAATCAACGAGGCAGAGGGGGAAAGGCTTTTCAGAGGTGATACAAATCTTGTTTTCCTCCTGACGTGTGAGAGAGGAGACTTGCTCCTCTCCGAGGTGTTACACCAGCACCTAAAATTATTCTCTTGATGGAGGTATCTCAGATTCATAAAAGGGGAGAATCAAGTTTCATTTTCCACTGAGCCCTCTGTTTAGATCCAAGCGATATGATCCCAGTTAATTTATATCCACCACAAAACCTGACTGGGCACTCAGCCCCGAGCTCTCCCGCCCCTGCTCTTCCCATTGTTCCCTGTTTGTTTCCTCTCCCATTCTGCACGTTTCCCTCAACTCCTTTTGTCACAGACTTTTGAATGTGGTTTAGCAAGGGCTTGCCTCCCAAACACACCCTGCCCCGACCCCACGAAGCAGGAAATCCTCTCCCATGCCCATGTTGCTCTGCAGGGCTGCCAGCAGCTCTGTCCCAGGGCCGTGGCTCTCTGTGACCCAGCCCAGCTCTGCTGGCACCCGTGGGCAAGGACAAAGGGACACGAAGCCTCACGCTCTGTGGCTCGCATCTGCTGGGGAGCCCCAGGAAAACGTCTGGGGGAAAGGTCCCCAAAAGGGCCCCAAGCCACGTCCAGGTTTCAAGGAGATGGAAGGGCTGGACTGTGCTGCTGTCTGGAGAGGCTTTAACATGGTTGGTGATGGGTTTGTAGGAGAGAGGCCAGGCCTGACAGGGTGGTAGTAAAACCATAAAAAAAGGAGAGATCATTTTGGCAGTAGAGGCTGACAGAGAATCCCAGAGTGGTTTGGGTGGGAAGAGACCTCAAAGCTCATCCAGTGCCATCCCCTGCCATGTGCAGGGACACCTTCCACTGTCCCAGGCTGCTCCAAGCCCCATCCAGCCTGGCCCTGGGCACTGCCAGGGATCCAGGGGCAGCCCCAGCTGCTCTGGGCACCCTGGGCCAGGGCCTGCCCACCCTCCCAGCCAGCAATTCCTAATTGCCAAGAGCCCAAAATCTGTGCCTGCCCTCTGGCACTGGGAGCCATTGCCTGGCTGCTGTCCCTGCAGGCCTTGTCCCCAGTGCCTGGGCAGCTCTGCTGGAGCCCCTGGAGGCCCTGGCAGGGGCTCTGAGGTGTCCCTGGAGCCTTCTCTTGTGCAGCTGAGCAGCCCCAGCTGTGCCAGGCTGGCTCCAGAGCAGAGGGGCTCCAGCCCTGGCAGCAGCTCCGTGGGGGAGGGATGAGAACTGGGGGAAAGAGCAGCACCTGCCACGCTGTGAAAACACACAGAGAGGACTGAGGCTGGGCAATGTCCTGTGAGGAAAACAGCAGAATTGAATGAGGAATAAATTCCTGCCCAAACCTGTGTCAGCATAACCAGAATCTCTGCTCGCCCTTCGGTGCCTGGCAATGGTGAGAGCTACACAAGACTGTGGAGCACCTCCAGACTGAGCCCAGCACAGCTGGGAATTTTTGAGTTGCTGTGTCACAAATTAAGGGGATTAAATCCTTCAGCACAGCAGAGGACAGCTCCCTGCTGTGCCTTATCAGGAGGCATCTGCCCAGGTCAAACTAATTACCAATACGCACAAGCGCCCTTATCTGGGAGCAAATGTTCTCCTGCTCCAATTATGGATTTGTTAAATGGCAAAACTTACTTTTAAGGGAAAGGTTCGTCACGCTCTTAAAAGGCAGAATTAGGCTGGCCAGAGAGTCGGGAAGCTGAGAGCCAATTAAAGCGAGGCCAGCTTCAATTAGTGCCCGGGCTGCCTGACCCGTGGGTCTCCCCTCAGTGCCAAGGGGCGCCTGTCCCTGCACAGCAGCTCCTGCTGCATGACTCTGCAGCCTGCCTTCAGTTCGAGGGCTCGGGAAACACAAATGCATCTCCAGCGCTCCTGAAATCCTGTGCCAGTGGTTTCTTCCAGCCTGTCTTTCATGCACAGAAACTGACCCGTGTTGAGGAGCTTTTCTGTATTGACAAGCTGAAATCATTAATTCAAGGCCATGGAGGCCCCACAGGATTTCCAATCTTTAAGGCCTCAACCATTTCTAAGCCAACAGACATTGTCTCCTATGCCCCCACAGCCATCCCTCTGTGAGCCTGCACCACCTCAGGTCTGGAGTGGATGCACCATGCACTCTATTTTCTTTTTTTTTTTTTTTCATTAATAATCAGCCCAGC